TTACTGGGTCTACTTCTTTCACTACTGTCTAGTAACATTGCCTAGACTAGCCCCTGACACATGTCAGAGACTCAATGCATATTGTTGGGATAAATTGATAGAGTTGCCAGATAGAATACAGAACACTCAGTTAAATTTGAATTTCAGATAATCAATGAATATTTTTAATATAAAAATGTGTTCCAGGGGTGCTTGGGTAGCTCAGTCAGTTGAGCGTCTGCCTTCAGCTCAGGTCATGATCCTGGGGTCCTGGGATGGAGTGGAGCCCCCCACCTGCTTCTCCCTCTGCCTCTGCCCCTCCCCCCACTTGTGCTTTCTCACTTGCTCTCTCTGATAAATGAACAAAATCTTTAAAAAAAAAGTGTGTTCCAGGGTGCCTGGGTGGCTCAGATGGTTGAGCGTCTGCCTTCGGCTCAGGTCATGATCCCAGGGTCCTAGGATCGAGTCCCACATCGGGCTCCCTGCTAGGCAGGGAGCCTGCTTCTCCCTCTGCCTCTGCCTCTCTCTCTCTCTCTCTCATGAATAAATAAATAAAACATTTAAAAAAAATCTATAAAAAAAAAGTGTTTTCCAAATATTATGTAATGTAAATCTAGCAACTTTCAAACTGATGAGGTACAGAGAACATTTTATCCAAATGAGAATATTCAGATAATTCATATTTATTTTTTTAAAGATTTATTGATTTGAGAGGGAGTGAGAGCACACAAATGAGGGAGGGGCAGAGGGAGAGGGAGAGAAAGAACCCTCAAGCAGGCTCTCCGCTGAATGCAGAGCCCACCTCAGGGCTTGATCCCACGACCCTGGGTTCAAGACCTGAGCTGAAATCAAGAGCCAGATGCTCAATCGACTGAGCCACCCAGGTGCCCCTCAAAGATAATTCATATTTAAAATGCTGACAAGCCTCTATGGAACCCTAATACTTGTGTATTAGGTAGGATCTGGTAACATAAACAGGAAAACACAGCCCCAAACTTTGATGAACTCACCTGATTTCGAGTTCTGAAAATATGGTCATAATAATCAATTACTCAAAAATTTTTTGTTAATTTATTATTGTGCCCAAAATATCAATACTAGATATACAGCTTCATTTCCTCATGGAAACTGTATACAATAATGTCTATACCAAGTGTAGCTAGGTAATTTTAAACCTTATAAGCTTGAAAATAAACTTTACCAAATTTTGTTTACAGAATAGAATAAGAAGTTATTTCTCATCTGAAAATGTGGATAAAATGACATTATTGAAAAATTTGTACTCCAAAAGTAAAGATAGGAGAGACATGTCATTAAACAAGAAAATCATCCAAGGTGCACATAGGAGCGATCTTTGTATATGGCATAAAGGGGACAATGGTCAAATTTTAAATGACTAAGCTTTGACGGAGATTTCAGAGGACTCTTTAAACCTAAAATCTAAACTAATAAATTGATCCAGGGTGGGGTTGGGGGAGTTATTGACTTTAGTTAAATATTTCCTCTTGAGTACAGCCTAAAGAGAAGCTCTCTGACTTTCTCTGAGGGATTTACACGGAAGTATAGTCTTCATCTGACTGATTACCTTGGGGTTCATAGAGTTGCCCTAACTCCCTGCCCTGGGAGGTCATGCAAATAAAGCAAATTGTGCAGTCCTGGAATTTCTGAGTTCAAAGTTTTTCTGTAGAGTGAAGCAAACCTTATTTTATAAAAGCACTATTTTCGCCAATTGTTGGACAAATTTCTGCAGTTTACACTTGATTTTGTATTTAAACACTTGGACAAAATATATTTCCTAGAGTAGAAATTTTTTCCCAGCTTTATTGAGAGATTATTGACATTAGAGTACAACTGTATCCAACAAAAAGAGAAAGCGTACTGCAATAGAAAGAGTACTGATCTAAGATTAAAGAAAGAGCTGTCCTTGCTCCTGGCATTTCCTACACTTAATGGAAACGTACTCTAACTCCTGCGTCTCGGTTTCAACTTTTAGTAGATGCATGTAGTAATACCCATCTTGGCCACCTCACCTGATTATTTATTCAACTGATATCCATTGACAGACTTAACAGAGTTCTATGGAAAATTGAACAGTGCTATAGAAATATGTTATAAAAATTCAGTAAAATCTTCATTCATTCATTCATCAGGAGTCTCTAGTCTTCAGTAGGCAACCATTAGATAATTAAGAAAGTTTCAACTACTGTTTATTTTTTTATTTTTTTTACAGATTTTATTTATTTATTTGAGAGAGAGAAAGAGAGAGACAGCATGAGAGGGGAGAGGGTCAGAGGGAGAAGCAGGCTCCCCGCTGAGCCGGGAGCCCGATGTGGGACTCGATCCCAGGACTCTGGGATCATGACCTGAGCCGAAGGCAGTCGCTTAACCAACTGAGCCACCCAGGCGCCCTACTGTTTATTTTTTTTTAAAGATTTTATTTATTTATTTGACAGAGAGAGACACAGTGAGAGAGGGAACACGAGCAGGGGGAGTGGGAGAGGGAGAAGCAGGCTCTCCGCTGAGCAGGAAGCCCGATGCCAGGCTCAATCCCAGGACTCTGGGATCATGACCCGAGCTGAAGGCAGACGCCCGATGACTGAGCCACCCAGGAGCCCCATCAACTACTGTTTAATTTAGATGATGAATTTTATTCAAGATTTATTTGACACATTACCATAATTCCTTCTGCTGTCCCCACTTTTCTATTTTACTGTGGGTGTGGGTGCATCCTGGGTCAAAAACTTAATCTCATTTAAAAGATATAAAAAATCAGAGTAATTTTGCTGAACTCATGCCAACGTTTGATAAGGTAGCTCAGTCATTTCATCCAGTCTGCCACTAAGTCATGCCATTGGCTATCATGTCAGACACTGGTGGGGACTTTTATATTTTTATATCCAGGCTCTCTTGCAGCAGTGCATGAGGAGTTACCATATCTGAGTTCCAGTACTGAAGTCTATCCTTTTTTTCTTGATGGCATTACATTTTCTTCCATGGTTAATTAAAAAGTTTACCTTTTTCATTTTTAGCCAATGTTTATGGACTCAAACATTTAGGTAAAAAATTTTCTTTTTGGTACCCATGTGACCAAAAGCAACAAGAACATTTTCAGGGAGTGATTTTGAGAGTGGATTCTTCTGCCTACATTCAGGGTGTTTTCTGGCCCCTATTTTACTGGCTGATCTTCCCATCTTTTTTTTTTTTTTAAGATTTTATTTATTTATTTAACAGAGAGAGAGAGCACAAGCTGGGGGAGGGCAGGCAGAGGGAGAAGCAGGCTCCCTGCTGAGCAGGGAGCCCCATGCAAGACTCAATCCCAGGAGCCTGGGATCATGACCTGAGCCTAAGGCAGACACTTAACTGACTGAGCCACCCAGGTGTCCCTAATCTTCCCATCTTTGCATATACATATCCTAGTCTTTGTGATCCAACTCAAATGCCCTATATTTATAAAGCTTTTCCTTAACACTCCCAACCTCCTTTAGAACCTTTGCAGTGCTCTGTATCATTCTTATGATATTTATCATCTTATATCTTGTGGTATATTTTCTCCAGATCTTGCTTGATGGCCTTATGGGAAAGGACACTTTCACAGAGGAGGGCCTTAAATTCTCATATAAATTTGATGAAGAAAAGAATGAAGAATTTTGGATAAGTCATTTAACTTCTTGGTGCCTTAGTTTCCTCACATATACAATCCTATTGTAGATGATTGTTGTGGAGATGTAATAAGTTAACGTGTGCAAAGTTCTGAAAAGTAAAAAATGAAGGGCAGATATTATTTATTTTCTTGCTCATGAATACTACGTTCTACTTGTTCATAATTATAATCTTCTGTGTGAAGATAAAAGGCTAAATGATTCCAGAAAAGCCACAGATGATCCCAAGAGGGGATGAGTTTTCAGGTTAAGATTTTAAACAGAGCGGAGAGAGGAAGTGCTACACTATACAAGAGCTGTGCTTTGGTGTTAAGATAATTTAAATCTCGTTTTTGGCACTTGCTGGACTAGCTTTAACTTCTGTGACTCTGAGTTTCCTTATCTGTAAAATAGGGAAGAGGATATCGTGTTTTGCAGAGCAGTATGAGAATTAGAGATAATGCGCATAGTATACTCTATGGAAGTGGGAAGCATTGTTAATACTTAAGGACTTGGGTTGAAATGTCCCCACATTCGCCCTTTGTCCTGTTGACAATATTTTCATCCTCGTAATTGAAAGAGTTGTTATAAAATATGCAAAATTAGTTTTGTGCCGGAGCCTGGGAATATTTGTTCAATGAGTTATCAATAAAGTTTTGAATAAAAAAAATTATACCGCCGTTTCAATAAAGCTTTGCTCAAATGGAGAGCGGGGATCTTATCGCGAGAATCTGGCGGAACGCGTTTCTTGTTCAGGACCTAGTCTCGCGTTTTTTGAGCAAGCCGTGGTGAGAGGTGAAAGGGAAGCACGAAATACCGCGAGAGTCCACAGGATTCTCGCGGTGTTTCCTGGGATCGCCCCCCTCCCCCCGCCAAGTGCCGTTTCGGTTTAACCTAGTGTGTGACTGAGTCTGTGTGAGGGAGCGAGTGAGTGTGTGAGGTGTTGAGGTGAGGCGGAGGCAAGAAGAGGGGCTCCCTCAGGAGCGAGGGACAAAGGGGGCGTGAGGCACCTAGGCCGCGGGACCCCAGCGACAGGAAGCCGCCCCGAGCCGGGCTACCGGGTAGGGGAAGGGCCCGCGCAGTCTTCACAGGGCCCCAGAGCCGGAGTCGGCCCCACAGCCCGGGGCCGTCGGCTTCCTACTTCCTCGACCTCCCCGGCGCCCGGGCCTGAGGATTGGCTCGGCGGGGGGAGGAGGGGAAACAGACTTGAGCAGCTACCCGTTGTCTCGCAACTCCACTGCTGAGGAACTCTCATTTCTTTTCTGGCTCCTTCACCCCCCACCTCATGTAGGAGGGTGCTGAGGAGTCGGGAGGGAGGAGGAGCCTGGGCTACCGTCCCTTCCCTCCCCACCCCCTTCGAGGGGCGCTTTGGTAGGCGTGGGGTTGGGGGGGTGGGTGGGGGTTACTTTTTGGAGTGCTGGGGAACTTTTTCCCCTTTTTGAGGCCCGGCGAAAGGGAATGCCCAATCCAGAGAGACATGGGGGCAAGAAGGACGGGAGTGGAGGAGCTTCTGGAACTTTGCAGCCGTCATCGGGAGGTGGCAGCTCCAACAGCAGAGAGCGTCACCGCTTGGTGTCGAAGCACAAGCGGCATAAATCCAAGCACTCCAAAGACATGGGGTTGGTGACCCCCGAAGCAGCACCTTTGGGTACAATTATCAAACCTTTGGTGGAGTATGATGACATCAGCTCTGATTCAGATACCTTCTCCGACGACATGGCCTTCAAACTAGACAGGAGAGAGAATGATGAACGTCGTGGAACTGATCGGAGTGACCGCCTGCACAAACATCGTCACCACCAGCACAGACGTTCCCGGGACTTACTAAAAACTAAACAAACAGAAAAAGAAAAAAACCAGGAAGTCTCCAGCAAATCGGGATCGATGAAGGACCGAGTATCAGGAAGTTCAAAGCGTTCAAATGAGGAGAATGAGGACTATGGGAAGGCACAGATATCCAAAAGCAGCAGCAACAAGGAATCCAGGTCATCCAAACTCCATAAGGAGAAGACCCGGAAAGAACGTGAGTTGAAGTCTGGGCACAAAGACCGGAGTAAAAGTCATCGGAAAAGGGAAACACCCAAAAGCTACAAAACAATGGACAGCCCCAAACGGAGATCCAGGAGTCCCCATAGGAAATGGTCTGACAGCCCCAAGCAAGATGATAGCCCCTCAGGAGCTTCTTATGGCCAAGATTATGACCTTAGTCCCCCAAGATCTCACACCTCTAGCAATTATGACTCCTACAAGAAGAGTCCTGGAAGTACCTCAAGAAGGCAGTCAATTAGCCCGCCTTACAAGGAGCCTTCGGCCTACCAGTCCAGCACCCGGTCACCCAGTCCCTACAGTAGGCGACAAAGATCTGTGAGTCCCTATAGTCGGAGACGTTCTTCCAGCTATGAAAGGAGTGGCTCTTACAGTGGGAGATCACCCAGTCCCTATGGTCGAAGACGGTCCAGCAGCCCTTTCATGAGCAAACGGTCTCTGAGTCGGAGTCCACTCCCCAGGTGAGCTATTTGTCTAACAGCCCTTTCTTACTTAGGCTGCGTCATGAGGAACTGGCAGTTAGTCATGTTAACGTTTTGTTGAAGCCCCCAGTTTCCCTTATTGACTAGAACACTTAGTTATTGGCTAGTTACTCAAGTAGGTGAATCTGGTCTTCTCTTAACCCAGAATTTGAGAAGTGGAGAGTTCACATGCCTAAAACTGCTAAAGGTAGGTACTTCCAGGGGTGAAATCTTCAGTTGTAAGCCCCTGTAAGAAAAATCATAAGCTCCTGCTTATTGAGTCCACATAGTTGATAATTGAGCTTATCCCAGAGCTTATCTAGCAATTTCAGTTGCATTGTCTTAAATCACCTTGGTATTCGTGCTTTAGACCTCACTGGACCTGACTGGTGATGTAAGAAATTATAAATTTTCATTCGTATTATCTTGAAGCTATTTGCCTAGGTCATCTATCATTTGTGCGTGTGCTGTCCACTGAGTCTCCAAAGCTGTAAGTTTATTTCTTAATTCCTGTCTTTAAACTGATGTTTTAGTGGAAATTCAGCTGCTTAGTCCTTTTTCCTTTTGTTGATACATAGCTTAGCAGAAGTTGGTTCCAAGGATAATTTGATTTTCTTTACAGCATCACCATTGACCTACCTTGTGACCACTGGCAATTTTCAAAATTTTTCTCTAAAAAAATGGTAATAGTGCCTTTACCATATTTTAGCAAGAAAGGCATGTTAGTTTGAAATTTAATCATTAAAATGAATTACTACTGAAAACTGTTATTTCTAGATGATGAGATGTACCTCCCTCTTTGTGGACTCACTTTGTCCACAAAAGAACATGGGCTTTGGGGTTATACCTGAATGGAATCCTAATCTTGCTTTGTGAACTTTGGCAAATAATTTAATTTTTCCCTGCCCGTGTTTCTTCATATGTAAAATGGGAATAATAACTACCTCCTTCTAGAGTAGTTGTGAGGATTAAATTAGCTAGTAAATATGAAGTGTATAGCAGTTTCTGGTTACCTGGAGCAGGTCAGTAAATTCTGTCTTATGAGCGAAGAAATATTGTTGGGTGCTAGGGGAGAAATTATGCTAATTTGTAAAAATCCATGCGTGTCTTTTATATGTCAATATGAGTAATTTTTGCTGAGTTAAAGTTATAATTATTCATAAATTAGTTTGAATTAATCAAACTGCAGAGTTCTTAACCTGTCAGGGCCTAAAAGTTCCTTAGTCCTCCCCCTCCCCCCAACCCCCCCATTTTATCACAATTTTTCAAACACAGAAAAGTTGAAAGAATTATAGTGAGGATCCATATATGTAATACCTAGATTCTACAATTAATATATGCTATATATTTTATCATACCCATCCATCTCTCCATCAGTCCATCTTTTGATTCATCTCAAAGTTGCAGACATCAGTATACTTCACTGTAAGCATTTTAGCATGTTGTGTATAGCATTAGCTAGAGTTGACTTTTTTTGAAGGGGTGAGAGTAAAATTTATATAAGTGAAATGGATGTCTTAAGTGTACTATTTATAAAGTAGCTTAGTTGTTAAGGAACCATAAGAAATATTCTGAGAATACTTGTTTTCTTGAGGAGTAGTTTCATTAAGGCTGTTTTGAGAATTTTTATTGTCATGAGTTTTGGGAATATGGAAGTGCACTTGAGACTAAAACACTAAAACAACTTTCAGAAAGAACTTGCTTTGCAGGGATTCCTTTTGGATTCATATCTCAAGTTCTCTCTTCCTCTACTCAGTTAATTGGAACTAGTGCAGTAATGGTAAAAAATAAATTAGGAACGAATTGGAGACACAATATAATAGCATAGGACACAATATATAAACATAATATAATTTTAGAGTCACATGCATATTTTTAGTTGGGTTTTAGAGAGCATTATATGTTTGTATATGTGCACTACAGATTTTTTCCTCATTCATTGGAATTCCAGACAATAAGTACAAAAACTTCTTAGAGCATACAGATCCCTTCTGTGATATCTCTGTTTTTTCCCTTGGGAGATGGTCAAAATTAAATAAGCAACATCATTTTAAAAGACTGAAAATACCTTACCAGAAATGCAATGTCTTTGCATCCTCCAAATTAGTAGTGGTTAGTAGTAGCAGTTTCATTTCAGATGAATAGAACCTAACTCACATCAGGGGGAAAATACATTTGTTTTTGAGAGGTTTTTCCTGTTGCCTGCATTTACCTATTGGTTGTCTCCTCTTGCCACCCCCCTTCCTTGTCGCTTTTTTTCTTGAAGAGTGGATCTTGACCTCAAATATAGCATTTGTATCACTAAAAATGCCATAAGTATATGGCCATCAGAATGTTCTATTAACAGTAGGCTTCTGTTCAGAAATTGAAGGGTTTGTAGCAGAGTTCCTTAGGAAGATTTAGTAATGCTGAATGATTAAAGAAACTAGTTTTTAGAGCGTGTGGTTCTGACATTACTTAGTGTTTGGGACTTTAGAAGTTTATCATGGGATAATAGAGATAGTAGTTTTATCCCAGTTCCAATTCAGTGAGAGAAAACCTCTGGTTTCATCCAGTTACTTACAAAAGAAGTATTAGTTTTCTGAAGAATAAGTGGATGTTTCGTAAGTCCACTTAACCACTTTCAGTATTCTGTATCCTCATGTTCATATATATGTCGTTATTGCTGTTTTGAGTACTTCTATTCCAATAATGACTTGCATTTTAACTAAAACTTCCAAAAAGCAGTGTAGTTATAAGAAAACCATGGCTAATATCATGTGAGTTATTTCGCCTACACATATGTACTATTTGTTTTGAAACATTTTGAATTATGTCAGTATTACTAATGACCAAAGATAAAGGGAGATATTGAAGATCTGGAATGGGAACAATTTATTTTAGACTACTGGTCAAATTGTGTTTTGTTCAGTCACGTTTTTAGTGCTATTTTTTCTCCCCTCACATTGAGGCCTGAGCACATTAGGCTTTATGAAAAGGCAAAAAGAGGGGCACCTAGGTGGCTCAGATGGTTAAGCATGTGCCTTCAGCTCAGGTCGTGAACCCAAGGTCCTGGGATCCAGCCCCACAGCGGGCTCCCAGCTCAGCAGGAAGTCTGCTTCTCCCTCTGCCTCTGCCACTCTCTCCTGCTCATGCTCTCTCATTCTCTGTCTCTCTCTCAAATGAATAAATAAAGTCTTTAAAAAAAAAAAGGCAAAAAGAATTAATGAGGGTTGGGTTTCAATTAAGAATAATCTGGGGGCGCCTGGGTGGTTCAGATGGGTAGGCATCTGCCTTCCGCTCAGGTCATGATCCCAGGGTCCTGGGATTGAGTCCCACATCAGGCTCCTGGCTCAGCGGGGAGCCTGCTTCTCCCTCTGCCTCTCCCCCTGCTCATGCTCTATCTCTGTGTCTCAAATGAATAATTAAAAAATCTTAAAAATAATCTGCCTCATGGATTTCCAAATTCTTAATAATGAAGAAAATAAATTGAACATGCAACAACAGTACCTTGCTTTATAAGTTCCTAAAAAGTTGACCGGAAATCATTTTATATGTGAAAATACCAGAAGTCATTATAGTTTGGAGAACTTGGGATAAATTATTTGGTAAGACAACTTTTTCAGCTTATTTATTTTGCAAATCCTAATAACTCTTGTATCTGAGGGGTTGTTTAGTATAGGCACAACTTAATTATCGACTGAGGATTCAAGGAACAAAATCTTCCTGGGATCTGTCAATTAAATAGTTCTCTAGTTTAGACAATTAGGTTTTGGTGAAGCATGCTAGTTACTTTTAACTTCCTGATTGGTATAACTCACCTTTAGTATAAAGTGTGACTTTTTTTTTTTTATCATGTTTTCACTTCGTCAGAGATTTAAACCAAAATTCCAAAAAAGTAATCATTGTGAATATGGGTGCTTTCCAACATGGGAAAAAAATACCCATCTTCTTGAGTTGGATAAGTAATGGATAATTTTAGCGTTACATGAATGAAATATGTTGTCCTACAGGATTTAGTTCCTTGTAATCTATTTTTTAAGTAAATTTTATTTTTTAGACTAGTTTTAGATTCACACACAAAATTGTGACAATAGTACAAAGAATTCTTTGTCCTTGCATCCAGTTACCCCTGTTATTAACATTTTACATTGGTCTGGTACATTTGTTACAGTTAATTAACCAATATTGATATGTTATTATTGTTTGATGGTACCTAATTAATTTTTAAGATTGCTAAATTAGGGCGCCTGGGTGGCTCAGTTGGTTAAGCGACTGCCTTCGGTTCAGGTCATGATCCTGGAGTCCCAGGATCGAGTCCCACATCGGGCTTCCTGCTCAGCAGGGAGTCTGCTTCTCCCTCTGACTGACCCTCTTCCCTCTCGTGCTTTCTATCTCTCATTCTCTCTCTCTCTCAAATAAATAAATAAAATCTTTAAAAAAAAAAAAAGATTGCTAAATTACTCAGAGTAGCTTCTTTAAGTTACAGTGCTCCATAGTTTAACTGATGTATTTTCCTACATATTGCTGTCAGCTATCCATTTTAAACTGACTTTTTCTTTTTCCAGTAGGAAATCCATGAAGTCTAGAAGTAGAAGTCCCGCATATTCAAGACACTCATCTTCTCATAGTAAAAAGAAGAGATCCGGGTCACGCAGTCGACATTCCAGCATCTCACCTGTCAGGCTTCCATTGAACTCCAGCTTGGGAGCTGAACTCAGTAGGAAAAAGAAGGAAAGAGCAGCTGCTGCTGCTGCAGCAAAAATGGATGGAAAGGAATCCAAGGGTTCACCTATATTTTTGCCTAGAAAAGAGAACAGTTTAGTAGAAGCTAAGGATTCAGGCTTGGAGTCTAAAAAGTTAACCAGAGGTGTAAAATTGGAAAAATCTGCCCCAGATACTGAACTGGTGAATGTACCACATCTAAATACAGAAGTCAAAAATTCTTTAGATACAGGGAAAGTAAAGTTGGATGAGAACTCTGAGAAGCATCCTATTAAAGATTTGAAAGCACAGGGATCAAGAGACTCTAAACCCATAGCATTGAAAGAGGAGATTGTTACTCCAAAAGAGGCAGAGACATCAGAAAAGGAGACCCCTCCAACTGTCCCCACAGTTACTTCTCCACCTCCTTTACCAACTACTACCCCTCCACCTCAGACACCCCCTTTGCCACCTTTGCCTCCACTACCAGCTATTCCACAGCAACCTCCTCTGCCTCCTCCCCAGCCAGCATTTAGTCAGGTTCTTGCTTCTAGTACTTCAACTTTGCCCTCTTCTACTCACCCAAGGACATCTACTTTGTCCTCTCAGGCAAATTCTCAGCCCCTTGCACAGGTTTCTGTGAAGACTCAAGTATCTGTAACAGCTGCTGTTCCACACCTAAAAACTTCAACGTTGCCTCCTCTGCCCCTCCCACCCTTACTACCAGGAGACGATGACATGGATAGGTAAGTCCTGTAGTTAACTGGGAAAACTTTACCCTCTTGATGTACATGTAATCATTTTCTCAAACTGTCAAAACTGCTCTAATACATGGCTGTTTAAAATGCTTTTATGAGTAGGAAATGCTTTTGGTATTTGGTTTTCAGTGGACAAGTTCTGATTTATAACATTATTACTTAGGAGAAGAAAATTACAAATTGAGGCCTAGTAACCCTTTTTGTTCATAAGTTTATTTGATAAGGCTAACTTTTGGTTCAAGTTTTTAAAAATCAATGGTGTTTTTCTCCCTAAAGTTTTATGTTGAAAAATTCTTTTTTTCTTTTTCTTTTTCGACCTTTTCTTTTTTTAAGATTTTATTTATTTGAGAGAGAGAAAGCACAAATAGCGGAGGGGCAGAGGGAGAGGGAAAAGCAGACTCTCTGCTGAGCAGGGAGTTCACTGTGGGCCTCAATCCCAGGACCCCTAGGATCATGGTCTGAGCCAAAGGCAGCCGCTTAACTGACTGAGCCAGCCAGGTGCCCCAAGATTTTTTTTGATTTTTAAGTAATCCCTACACCCAGTGTGCAGCTCAAACCCATGACCCCGAGATCAAGAGTTATATGCTCCACTAACTGAGCCAGCCAGGCACCCCTGTGTTGAAAATTTTAATAGCTATGGAAAAAATGAAAGAATAATATAATTAACTCCTTTATACTCTTCACCAAGATTCACCGGTTAACGTTTTGCCACATTTGCTTTTACTTTATATATCATGACACTTCACTTCTGAATACTTTTTTTTTTTTTTTTAAGGATTTTATTTATTTGACAGAGAGCGAGAGCAGGAACACAAGCAGTGGGAGAGGGAGAGGGAGAAGCAGGCTTCCTGGCTAGCAGGGAGCCCGATGTGGGCCTCAATCCCAGGACCCTGGGATCATGACCTGAGCTGAAGGCAGACCTTAACGATTGAGCCACCCAGGCACCCCACTTCTGAATACTTTAGCATGTCTCTTCTAACACTAAGAACATTTTCCTAAAGAATCACAATACCTTAATCACCCAAAAAACTTCTTACTGATTTAATAATATAATATCAATAATAACAATATCAAATATCCTTAGTAGTCCCCCAAAATGTCTTTTATAGCTGGGTTTTTTTTTCTCCTAAGCCAGGAAAAGAATAAACTAGTTTTATCTTGAAAGACACTGCTTTAAAAAAAAAAAAGTTACCCTATAAGAAGCAGAAGAACAGCATGTAGAATCTTTACTAATTAGAATATAAATTCACAATGGGATGATGGGAAGAGCTCTAATTTTGATGAGTCCTCTTAATATTGAGAAGTGAAATGATGAAACACAAATCTGATTTTATGGAAGGCATTAGGAAATATATTCTATATCTTGTCAGGACTAGCTAGGCAAATACCATCAAACAAATTGATTTAGTGGTGACATAGGCCATGGTAGTAGTCTGTTACTGGTTTTTTCTAAGGAGATCCTACCCTCTTGTTCTCTAGGATATGAGTTTAATTTATTGCAGTAAACTTTCATCGTAAGCATAAAAGTAAGTACTACTGATCTTACATCCCAGACCAATTCCCAAGCCTCCATTATTTTCCAAGTGACATCAATAATTTGAATGATGATACATTTCAGCTCTTTACATTTATATTTTTCCAGACTATGCTCTGTGCCTTTTAAGAAGGTACAAATGCAATTAAAAAATTTTCTTAAAGAATGAGTCCATTACTTCATAGTAGTAAATCTTATTTTAAAGAAAAATTCCACTGCTCTTTCTAATATCAATTATTATTTGTCAATTCTGCCATATCCTGAGAATTGCAAAGGAGAAGGATAAAACCTGAAATTTATGTAAAAAAAAATCTGTTTAGGTACACAGTATACTTCTCATAGATACAAACTACGTGTTTCTATGGTTTTTGTTGGAAAAGGAAATAAGGAAATATCAATTGAGCATTATCCAGTGGGACTCTCGGCCATGATCTATCTACAGGAACCTTGTTTAAATACTAGTTTACATAGTGGCTAGAATGATGTCAGTGTGGCTGAGAATCTTCATTTTGAAATGTTAATACTTGGCTAACCAAGTAATTATTGAACTGACCTACCATGTGTCAGTGTAGAGTGCAGATTTCCAGAGGTGGAATAATTTTGATAGGCACATAGGGATTTCTGTCTTTTAGATTGGGATGAAAGGTAAAGTAAGACCATTCAGTGCTTGTTTGAGTATGTGTGGCTATCTTTAAGAATGTGTATGAGAAAATGAACAGAAGTATTTTTTTGTTTATCAGTTCTGATTGTGAAAGTATAACTGTTTCATAGTCCAATGGAATTTATTTTAATAGTGTGATAATTATGTAAAAACCCATACACAAAACAAAACATTTGTTTTCTATGGATATATATATCCATATACATCCGTATGAATTCACACCAAAAAATCCAAAAAAAATATTTTTTTATAGTTTTTTTTTAAGATTTTATTTATTTGAGAGAGCAAGAAAGAGAGAGAGAGAGAGAGCACATGAGAGGGGGGAGGGTCAGAGGGAGAAGCAGACTCCCTGCCGAGCAGGGAGCCCGATGCGAGACTCGATCCCAGGACTCCAGGATCATGACCTGAGCCGAAGGCAGTCACTTAACCCACTGAGCCACCCAGGTGCCCCGAAAAAGATATATATTAAGCTGATAATAATGGTTATCTCTGTGGATGGGACTTAGGATGAGGATCAAATGTAAAGGACCTTATCTGCAAAATTTTAATATTTTAAAAATATGGAATGCTTCACAAATCTGCTTGTCATCCTCACACAGGAGCCATGCTAATCTTCTCTATCTTGTTCCGATTTTAGTATATGTGCTGCTGAAGCGAGCACCAATGTTAATTATTTTTAAATGTATGATTATTATTAGTTTTCCACATAAATATAAACAAATTATTAAAGGCAGAAAAATGGAAGTGAAGATATCTTTCCACAATTTTATTTTTTCACTATTTTTTTTTTAAGATTTTATTTATTTGACAGAGAGAGACAGTGAGGGGGGAACACAAGCAGCGGGAGTGGGAGAGGGAGAAGCAGGCTTCCTGCAGAGCAGGGAGCCCGACGTGGGGCTCGATCCCTGGACCCTGGGATCGTGACCTGAGCCGAAGGCAGATGCTTAATGACTGAGCCACCCAGGCACCCCATTTTACTATGTATTTTAAATTCAAGATGGTTTTTGTTTTCGTCTTTAATTTTTTTTTTTTTGGTGCCACGCTATCCATGTATCATACCAGCTGCACCTGTTTTTCACATGAAAAATAATTTTTATGTAAGAAAACTTTTCAGGAGGAAATCTGAAAGTTTGCATACAGAATTCATTTATATTCTTGATCTTATGTGAGATTGCAGCAGCTTAATTGTTGAGAATGTGATTTATACATCTTTCTGTTGCCTACAGTGCTTTAAACATAGAACACAGAATGTGATCAGTAAATATTGCTTATTTGAATGAATAAGACTACTGAAGGAGACAGGATCAGGACTTGTGTGAAATGACAGTGGGAATATAGTTAATTCCGTAGGTACATGGATGATGTAAAGCTTGTATCAGAGGATTTGTCTTCTTTTAAAGTCCCTTTGGGAATAGAATGAAACTTCTTTCAAAGATATATATAGGGCCAGAAATGTATTAATCCAGGTATCAAATGCAGGAGTGAATTTAACTACTGGTATTGCAAAAGCCTAATTCATGGTCTGCAATTCTTTGTTTCAAGAAATGAAGGCTGCTAAACTATCCATTCTTCATGATATAGTACATTCTTCATGAATATAGCTATTCGTGGGGATCACCTGCTTTTTTTTTTTTAAGATTTTATTTATTTGAGAGAGCAAGAGCGGGAGGAGAGGCAGAGGTAGAGGAACAAGTGGACTCCCTGCTGAGCAAGGCTCTACCCCAGGATCCCTGAGATTATGACCTGAGCCAAAGTCAGACGCTTAACCCACTGAGCCACCCAGATGCCCTGGGGATCACCTGCTCTTAAGGAGATCATCTGTATGGGGCTCCTGGGTGGCTCAGTCATTAGGCGTCTGCCTTCGGCTCGGGTCGTGGTCCCGGGGTCCTGGGATCGAGCCCCACATCAGGCTCCCTGCTCCACAGGAAGCCTGCGTCTCCCTCCCCCACCCCCTTTTGTGTTCCCTCTCTCACTGTGTTTCTGTCAAATAAATAAAATTTTTAAAAAAAGATCATCTGTATACTCTTTTATAAAATTTCAGTTAACTGGAGTGCCTGGCTGGCTCAGTCAGTAAAGGTGCAACTCTAAATCTCTCAATTTCAGGGTCGTGAGTTCAAGCCCCATGTTGGACATGGAGCCTACTTCAGATAAATAAAATTTCAGTTAACCACATAGGGTTTTTAAAATCATTGTTTCCAGGGTACCCGGCTGGCTCAGTTGGTAGAACATGCAACTCTTGATCTCAGGGTTTTGAGTTCAAGCCCCACTATGGGTGTAGAGCTTACTTAATAATAAAATAGGGGCACCTGGGTGGCTCAGTCGTTAAGCATCTGCCTTCGGCTCAGGTCATGATCCCGGGGTCCTGGGATCGAGCCCTGCATTGGACTCCCTGCTCCTCCGGAGGTCTGCTTCTCTCTCTCCCACTGCCTCTGCTTGTGCTCCCTCTCTCGCTGTCTCTCTCTGTCAAATAGATAAAATCTTTCAAAAAAAAAAATAAAAATCTTCATTTCCAATCAATTTTTTGGGGACCTGGTTCATTTGGATTTTGTCAGACTTCAGTAGTCTCAGTAGAGTCTGTATTATTCTTAAAGGTTTTATCTTTAAAGTACTGAGCTCTTACAGAAAAGAAAGGATCTTTGTGAGCATTCAAATTTGATTTAGAATTTTGCTAATGGAATGCTTAGTTTGCATTTCTAATGTATTCAACTCAAATTTTTATTAGAAGTTTATAAAAGTAAATCGCTTTTTAAACAACCTGCTTTAAAAAGGGGAAAGGGATAAATGATCATATTTAAAGTTGTTTATGCTATTAAATTGTGAAAAATATTAGGAAATCAATCTTTAAATAATCGATATGTAAATTCATATTCTTTATTAACAATAAAGACTTCTTATTAGTGGTATTGATACTGTATAGATTAAATCCCATCATCATAAATTCCAAGAGACTATACAGATTTTAAAATTTGAGCAGTCATGGAGCTTGGCAACTTTTTTTGAAAAAGAAAATTATTATACATGAGCATTTATGCAACTACTCACCATATGTGAACCCAACTACAGGCGTAAATGGGGAACCAGGAAATACAGATATTGGCAAGATCAGCACTTCCTGGTACTGAATCTTCATAGTAATGACTTAGATGTTCAATATCTGCTCTCCAGTGTTAGACCCTCTGTACCATATGTCCTCTGCACTGTATAGAGGAATAGATTAGTTACTGAGTGCCGTATCCTGAAGGCTAAAGACCATAATGTTAAGCGTTGCAATTTTATGAGTCATCATTATTCCACGATTTTTGGTACATTGGAATTTGTTGAAATAGGATTTGACCTGTATTCAACTTGTATGCCCTGAACTGGTAGTACATACCAAACATTCATGCTTTATGAAATAAACATACTAAACATGTAATTTTTTAGAAGCAATGTATATTTTCATAGTAGCAAACTGAACATGAACCTATAAAGCCAACTGTGGAGAAAACAAGACCTTAAATATAAAACATAGACTGAACTTATATGAAGTGATGGTGAGAAAATTCAGATACTTCTAGTGAAGCATAACCAAGAAGTAATCTATTTCTGAATCATGAAGAATTAAAATTTATAAAGAGTATTCTGACATTAGTAGTTGAAAATTGGGAATTTTCATTCCCTGAATGTCTTTTTTTTTTTTTTTTAAGATTTTATTTATTTATTTGACAGAGACACAGTGAGAGAAGGAACACAAGCAGGGGGAGTGGGAGAGGGAGAAGCAGGCCTCCCGCCGAGCAGGGAGCCCAATGTGGGGCTTGATCCCAGGACCCCAGAGCCATGATCTGAGCCGAAGGCAGACACTTAATGACTGAGCCACCCAGGCGCCCTCATTCCCTGAATGTCTTAAAAATTGGGGAAATTTATTTATTTTTTTAAAAGATATTTATTTATTAGAGAAAGAGACAGAGAGGGAACACAAGCAGGGGGGATGGGAGAGGGAGAAGCAGGCTTCCCGCTGAGCAGGGAGCCCAATGCGGGGCTCGATCCCAGGAGTCTGGGATCATGACCTGAGCCGAAGGCAGATGCTTATTAACAACTGAGCCACCCAGGCATCCAAAAATTGGGGAAATTTAAAATCTATATTGTGTCCTGCCTGAAGAGTTTTCTGGTAATAGGCTTTGTTCCCAGTTTAGAAAAATCTTAGTTCTAATTACAGTAATGTGTATTCATCTCTATCTGAACAGAAAGTTTCAGAAGATCATTTTGCCTTTCATTGACCACCCTCGTTCTGGTTGATATACACAAACTAATCTAGATTCTTTTCTGCCTGATTTACAAGAGATTAAAATGATGAAAATCGGTAGAAAGTTACACTTTTGCGATTGTTTTTACATGCGATCTTTAAAAAGATACATTGCAAGGGATAGATCTTTATGGTTCTCTGGAAGTATTCGTGAAAGAATACATGTTTTTATAACCACTTATAAAAAAAAGTGGAGGAAGCTCCTTCTGTGGTTAGGAGGATTCTCAGCTTGTTTTCAAGCTTCTGATAACTGTGATAGAATAGAAAAGACTTATTATCTAGCATGGTTTTATTTGTAGGCATGAATTAGTATACCTTTCCTGAGGACATGCATAGCACAAAATCCTTTCTTATAAATAAGTTGAGATGGTTAAAAAATTGGAACTGAACACTGACTTCCCTAGTCTACTCTAGAAAAGACATCCTTTTTCCCTGCCCCCTCTTCCCCCCACCATTTTGTTGATTATCATGAGAGACCTGCCACCAATTGCTTTAATGATTCTGAAATACTTTACTGGACTCTCTCCTTAGATTTTTAGTTTGAGAATTATTTATCCATTTGGCCTTTTGCTTCCAAACCAATATAATAGGTCAGTATATCCACTAATTTTGATGTCCAATTTAACTTTTTTTTTTTTTACAAAACTCAAATACTATTTCCTTTTCCAAGTTCTGTCTACATCTTCTATAACATAGTAGCATTACATTGTTGAACTTTCGTTCCTTATGCTGGTCAAAATATATAGAATAGATTTGGTGACTCCATGAGTTGCAATGGTACTTTGGGAATTTAAGGTGATTACTTCCTGTATTTTATTTCATCTCAGTAAAATTACAGCAGAATCTTAGGAAAAACGTTAAAAAGTTTGTTATAGGATCTACAAGTAATATCACAAATTTTTTGTTTGATATACTTGGATTTCTTTTTGTGAAATCCAAGTATCTTTGACTGTGATAAACTTCAGTTCCTTATATTATAGGGTTTTATCCCTTAGAAGTAAAATCTTTATAATCTTTTGATAGCCAGACATTATAAGCTTTGAAAAGTTTTATTTTCATATTTTTTAAGTAATTATGATCTTTTTCTTCTCTTCCTCTATTATTTAGTCCAAAAGAAACTCCACCTTCAAAACCTGTAAAGAAAGAGAAGGAACAAAGGCCACGTCACTTACTCACGGACCTCCCTCTCCCTCCAGAACTTCCTGGTGGGGATCCATCTCCCCCAGACTCTCCAGAACCAAAGGCAGTTACACCACCTCAGCAACCATATAAAAAGAGACCAAAGTGAGTTTTTAGAGGGACATTTTATTTTATTTTATTTTATTTTTATTTTATTTAAGAGAGAATGAGCAGGGGTAGGGGGGCAGAGGGGGAAGGAGAGGGAGAAGAGAACCTCCAACAGACTCTGCACTGAGTGTGGGGCCCAACCCGGGGGCCCAACCCCTGAGATCATGACATGAGTTGAAACCAAGTCTGACCCTTAACCGACTGAGTCACCCAGGTACCCCTGGAGGGACAGCTTCCTTCCTTCCTTTTGGGCCTAAATCTCACACTTTCTTCCACAACCTACACTGGTAGGATTATATAAAATTGGGCCTAATGTGTATCTTTTATATTAATGGATAAAGGCCTTTCTGGGAGACCTGTTCATCTGCACCCTCAGATACCTACTGTTTTTAGAAAAGCAATGATTTCCCAAATTCAGATATACCATGAACATTGATCCCATTGTATCTTTCGAGTTTGATACTTAGAATATTAAAAAAGAAAAAAAGCTCTTTTATTCAGGGTATATCAACCATGTACACATAAATGAAAAATTAATAGATGTGGGATGTTTTTTCTTAAACCACATAAATTGCTATGCCATAAATGTAGTAGAATCTGGGTTTGATCTACTGTTACCAGTAGATTGTTAGCATTTCTCTCTCTCTCTCTTTTTTTTTTTTTTTGTTAGTATTTCTCTCTCTTTTATTTTAAACTAGGCTCCACGCCCACCATGGGGCTTAAACTCATGACCCTGAGGTTAAGAGTTGCATCCTCTACCAAATGGGCCAGCCAGGCACCCCAACATTCCTCTCTTAATAATAAAAATAGTTACCATTTACTGAGTACATAGTATTGCCAATGTTTTATATTTTATTTTAATAGTAGACGTATGATGTAGGGATTCTTTTCTGATTCAGTAGGTGAGGAAGCCAGTACTAAAGAGAGATTAGAAAGTAAGCAGCAGGGTGCCTGGGTGGCTCAGTCATTAAGTGTCTGCCTTTGGCTTGGGTCATGATCCCAGGGTCCTGGGATCGAGCCCCACATCGGGCTCCCTGCTCTGTGAGAAGCCTGCTTCTCCCTCTCCCACTCTCCCTGCTTGTGTTCTCTCTATCTCTGTCAAATAAATAAATAAAATCTTTAAAAAAAAAAAGTGAGCAGCAAATCTATTATTTGATCTTATGCCTTCCTGAAGCAAAAAGTCTTATCTTAGCCACTGTGAGAGACCATTTATTTCATATCATTTGATTCCTGCCTTTTTTTTTTTTAGATTTTTCTTATTTATTTATTTATTTAAAAGATTTTATTTATTTATTTGACACACAGAGAGAGCGAGAGTGAGAGAGGGAGAGAGCACAAGCAGGGGGAGCGGCAGGTAGAGGGAGAAGCAGGCTTCCTGCATGAGCAGGGAGCCCGATGTGGGGCTCGATCCCAGGACCCCGGGATCATGACCTGAGCTGAAGGCAGCGGTTTAACCAACTGAGCCACCCAGGCGCCCCTGATTCCTGCCTTTTTAATAAAGAAATTCATAGAAGATTCATGGGCCAGGAATCATCATAAAGAATTCTGTTTTCTTCTTTGAATAGGCTTAAGTTTTTAAAATAACTTTTTTTGGTTTGTTTTGTGGGGGCTCTTGTTTTACCTTTTTTAGAATTTGTTGTCCTCGTTATGGAGAAAGAAGACAAACAGAAAGTGACTGGGGAAAACGCTGTGTAGACAAGTTTGACATTATTGGGATTATTGGAGAGGGAACCTATGGCCAAGTATATAAAGCCAAGGACAAAGACACAGGTAAATATTGCCACAAAATTCTAGGTATCAGAAGTTTAAAAATTTAGCAGTACTAATGCTAAAGTAGACTTAGCAAAAGTGAATTTCGAGTTTTAATTTGGTTTTCAAAAGTTACTGAAATACTAAAATTTTCCAGAAGAATAATATAATTATTACTGTTTAAAAATCATCTTCTTTATCTGTTGTTCATTGTAAATATTTTATGATAAGCTTGCTGGGAATTTAAAAGAAAGTAAAAATAAAATTTATAAGTTGCTCTTTGTTTGGTAAGGTGTAGTCCTTAAAATGAAGTAGTTGGATTATTGGCATATTTTAATAATTCAAAGTTTTTAGGCCTAACTGAATACTGAATTAAGAAATGCAAGTCTTAAAAAAAAAATCAAAGTCAAGAAAGGGAACATGGGTTTGGTTTTGTTTTTTAAGGTATAGAAGTATCTGGCATATAGCATTAAAGTAAGCTAAATCTGTCTTTCAGAGCAACTCTGGGCATATATTGGCTGGTTCTTGATAGTGGCCAAAAAACGCTAATTGATAATGTAACAGTTTGAATTTATTGTAACAGGAGAGCTAGTGGCCCTGAAAAAGGTGAGACTGGACAATGAGAAGGAGGGCTTCCCAATCACAGCCATTCGTGAGATCAAAATCCTTCGTCAGCTAATCCACCGAAGTGTTGTTAACATGAAGGAAATCGTTACAGATAAACAAGATGCACTGGATTTCAAGAAGGACAAAGGTAATAGCAAGGAATCATGTTTCTACAGGGTAGATTGGTACATCTTATTTTCCTCTCTTAGCTTGTCTCTTTGACCAACTTCTTGAATCCATACCAGAGTTAAGATGTTAGTTTTGGGGACGCCTGGGTGGCTCAGTCGTTAAGCGTCTGCCTTCAGCTCAGGTCATGATTCCGGGGTCCTGGGATCGAGCCCCACATCGGGCTCCCTTCTCCGTGGGGAGTCTGCTTCTCCCTCTCCCACTCCCCCTGCTTGTGTTCCCTCTCTCGCTGTGTCTCTCTCTGTCAAATAAGTAAATAAAATCTTAAAAAAAAAAAAAAGATGTTAGTTTTGAAGTCTCTCCTTTTTTTTTTTTTTTACAAATTATAATAACAATAATGGAAATTAAACCCAGATTTGTCAGTTACTCTCATTTTTTTTTTTTTTTAAATAGGCTCCACGCCCAGCATGGAGCCCAACTTGGGCCTTGAACTCATGACCCTGAGATCAAGACCTGAGCTAAGATCAGGCGTCGGACACTTAACCAACTGAGTCACCCACACGCCCACAGATACTCTCATTTTTACATCATCCCTTCTGGTTATTGTTTATAATGCATACATATTTAGTTTAGTTTTGCACTTACACAGTTTAGAATTCAAAGCAGATAGATCTCAAACAACCTTCAGGTCACATACTGGTTTGTTTTCCTGGATTTGTAACTTTTGTCTCTTTGGGGGATAAAATTGTTCATTCATACTTACGTTTGAAATAGTCCAAATATGTCATTCAACCTACTTTTTTTAAAGCAAATCTGAAGATTTTCTTTTGTGAAGAAATGGCATCTGAATATATGATGTTAAGAATGTTAGGATGTTAAGAATGATAAGAGAGAATATAATTGAAGTACATAAAATTAGGAAGGTAATGGATAAAGTTAAGCTGGGCTTATTTATAGACCCTTAAAGATATTAGCACTAGGGGAGTAGCACTTCTCAAGTTTAGTAGAAGTAGTTTTTGTTTGTTTTTAATTTTATTAAATGGTAGAAGTAGTTTTAAAGCAAATAAAAAGAGGGCGCCTAGGTGGCTCAGTCGTTAACGTCTGCCTTTGGCTCAGGTCATGATCCTAGGGTCCTGGGATCGAGCCCCGCATCGGGCTCCCTGCTTAGTGGGAAGCCTGCCTCTCCCTCTCCCACTCCCCCTGCTTGTGTTCCCTCTCTCGCTTTGTCTCTCTCTGTCAAATAAATAGTCTTTTTAAAAAAAAATAAAGCAAATAAAAAGAAATTCTGTTTCTGTAACAGTAGTTAGATACATTTATGGAAATCAAACCTGAATAGAATTAAGAATACTAGATATACTTCTGGGTGTGTCTTAACTTCTTCTGATTATAAGAATAGTATAATGATGTGTAGGTAGTTTAAGGATAAACAAGAAAATGTTTATTGATTTCTTCTAGAGTGGAGCTTACTTTTCCTCTGCCATTCTTCTGTACTAATTTTTTTTTAACTTTTTTCTACCCTTTTTTTTTTAAGATTTTATTTATTTATTTAAATTTGACACAGAGAGAGAGCAGGAACACAAGCAGAGGGAGTGGGAGAGGGAGAAGCAGGCTTCCCGTCAAGCAGGGATCCCAATGCAGGGCTCAATCCCAGGACCCTGGGATCATGACCTGAGCCAAAGGCAGGCGCTTAACGACTGAGCCACCCCGGCACCCCCATTCTGTACTATTTAAATAGTTTACCATGTACTGTTTAAATTCTTTTTTAAAAAAATCATAAAATAATAAATGAATGAATAAATGGATGTGATGCATATCCATTGTGGCGAAATTGAAAATATGGAAGGGTCAGATAAAGAAAATGGCAACCATTTCTCTCCCACTCCATCCCAGTCTCCCACCATCCATAGAAAACCACTATAGTATTATCATTTTAATGTATTTCTTTCTAAGTACTCTATATACGTTATATTTATTTTAGCATAACTGAGATCAAAGTATATTTAGTGTTTTATAATCTGTCATAAGCAATTTGCCATGTCATTAACATGTTTTAATGACTGGGTAAGGCTAGATGAATCTAAATTTACTTCCACCAGTCTCTTTTGAGCAATTAGTTACCAGTTTATTTTATTTATTATTTTTTATATATAGATAAATCTTTAAATTAAAGATTTATTTATTTTTAGTGGGAGAGTGCATTTGCGCGAGCAGTTGGAGAGACAGAGGGAGAGGCAGAGGGAAAGAATTTCAAGCAGACTCCTTGCTAAGCGTGGATCCCAACTCAGGGCTCAATCTCAGGACCCTGAGATCATGACCTGAGCCAAAATCAAGAGTCAGACACTTAACTGAGCCACCCTGGCACCCCTATTATTATTATTTTTTAAAGCAAGCTCTACACCCAGTGTGGGGCAGGAACTCATGACACCAAGGTCAAGAGTCATATTTTCTACCGACTGAGCCAGCCAATTGCCCAATTAGTTACTAGTTTAAAAAATATAATCTGCTTTGAACATTTTTGTTCATAAATCTTTGCATTTTGATTTATTAATATAGTTTCTTAGAAGTAGAATTATTTGGTTAAAGGAATTTTTATATTTAATGTTAGATTGCTTTTAATATAGTAATTATTTATGTCCACCTGTGAGTGCCCATTCCACTTTATCCTCCCTAAGATTGAGTACATCTTTTTAAAAAATTGTCATTTTGATAGGTGAAGTATGATATTATTTTGGATTGCATTCCTTCCGTTACTTCTGAGTTCTTTTCCATGTTTATCAGTTTCACTTATTTTCTCTTCTTTGAGTTGTCCTTTTGTGTCCTGTGTCTACTTACCTTTGCAGTTTTGGTGTTTTTTTTATTAATTTATATGAGCTCTTGGCTAAATCTAAGATATTCCTTTAATGCTGTGGTTCTTAATTTTGGGGGGGTTATGGACCTCTTTAAACATTCTTACGGATCCATACTTTAAAAAAATAAGTTCAGAATGTTGCATATTATGTGTTTAAAATATTGCATACTATTCTAGGGAGTTCAAAGAATCCTTGAAGCCTACACTCTAGATTAAGAATCTTGCCCTTATGCTGGTAGGAGACAGAATTTTAAGACTGGATAGATAATTGTCTAATCTAGGTCTAGTACTGCTTATGTTAGAATATTTGCCTTTGTCATCATACACCCTGCTGAAGTGGAAAGATAGCATGGATTTCAGATCTTTTACAGTTCTCTTAGCATACTTATCCTTTTATCTACTTCTAAATTTAAGGAGTTTATTTTTTTATTTTTTATTTTTTTTAAAGATTTTATTTATTTGACAGAGAGAGACACAGCGAGAGCGGGAACACAAGCAGGGGGAGTGGGAGAGGGAGAAGCAGGCTTCCCGCGGAGCAGGGAGCCCGATGCTGGGCTTGATCCCAGGACCCTGGGACCATGACTGAGCCACCCAGGCACCCCTAAGTTTAAGGAGTTTAATTGGATGGTTCACCTTTCTTTCAGTTCTTAAATACTATGAATTTGACCAATAATTTATACTATATATACTGTGCTCTCCCTGGCATATTATGTGAGTAATATTAAATATAACTGAGATAAAGACTTATACAGAAGTAGCCGTAGACAATAATGGCATAGTAACAAATGGGCATGGTTATAACAAATAAAACTTCGTTTTACAGTGACAAACAGCAGCCTGGATTTGGCCCAAGGCCTATAATTTGCCAACTAACTCAGATTGTAGAAGACTAGTAATACATCTTGATCAGGGCAGTTGTTCTCCTCAAGAAGTAAATAGTCCAAAGAGCACTGGGTTAAGAGTCAAAAGATTAATTAAAATAGTAGTTCTGTTATTTATTATTAGAAAGTGCAAGTTATTCAAGTACTCTGAGTTTCAATTTCTTCATCTATAAAATTAAGTGGTTGTTTCAGAGAGTCCACTCCAAAATTACATTAAAATTTGAGGCATTGTCATTTCAGCGTCCTTTTCCTCTTTTTAATTTTTTTTCTTTCATTTTTGTATAGGTGCCTTTTACCTTGTATTTGAGTATATGGACCATGACTTAATGGGACTGCTAGAATCTGGTTTGGTGCACTTTTCTGAGGACCATATCAAGTCATTCATGAAACAGCTAATGGAAGGATTGGATTACTGTCACAAAAAGAATTTCCTGCATCGGGATATTAAGTGTTCTAACATTTTGCTGAACAACAGGTAACATAGTAACCAAATGAGGTTAAGCATTTTCTCCCTCTCTTCTGACCAGTTAGTTTTAGCTAGTTAGTTGGGGTTATAGGTAGACCCAGTGATGCAGTTTCTTGCATTTACATACATATGATAACTGTACTGTAGGAACATCTTATGATGGGGTACTCTGATGAGCAGAGTCTTCAGACTCAGTGTTGGTAAGGAATTAACAGAGGTAGGATTGTAAAGGTTTTTTAATTGCAGACATTTGGGGAATCACTCACATCCTACAGGAATATTTAGAGAGTTTTTTGCCATAGTTAGTAAATGTTATTGTGGCCCTTGGCAAATCAAAACACACATTGAGTTCTCAGTGAAATTTCGCCCTTGTTTAAGTGGGGAGAAACATGCCTGCTCTTATAGCTGCTCTTGAGACTTTCTCTGTTACCAAATTTCAGAGTAAACACAGGTGTAGGTGGTGGTTGACCTTTCTGCCAAGCACTTACTCCCAGGTTTTAATAGTGTAAACAGACAGGAATTTGGTGATGAACAGTGTTAAATTTTCAGAAGTTTTTATCTGCTTTCTTCCTCTCTGGCTATTTGTCTAAACTACATTGGTGATATCAGGTGTATTATGCATACTAGTCTTTGGTAAATAGCCCTACCTATCGAATAAAAAGCAGGTCTGATACTATTGAAGTTATACCAGTGTTTGGTTCTTTAGGTAACTGGGCTGTTTATAGCCATCTTTGTCTGATTCACCCATTGTTTTATACATTACTGTTCAATTATATTTATCAAATACTGTTATCTGGAGAGAGCTATAGAAAGATTATGACTTATTTCTCATCTTCGTGGAGTGAGGTAACCCAACTATCCTGAGTTGCCCAGGGACTGTTCTGGTTTTATTTATTTTAAGTTTGGTTTTGTTGAAGAGCAAGCAAGCAGGGAGGGGGAGGGGCAGGGAGAGAATCTTAAGCAGGCTCCATGCCCAGCGCTGAGCCTGATACGGGGCTCAGTCTCATACACTGAAATCATGACCAGAGGTGAAATCAAGAGTCAGGCACTTAACCGACTAAGCTACCCAGGTGCCCCTAAAGATTTTTTATTTTTAAGTAATCTTTGCACCCAGCGTGAGGCTTGAACCCAGGACCCCAAGATCAAGAGTTATATGCGCCACCAACTTAGCCAGCCAGCCCCTGTCCTGTACTGGAAGTCTCCCATGGGATAGTTGGTCATTAGAAAGCTCAGAGTTTAATAGGGGAGCTAAACAAATAAATTGCTCAATTCAGTAAATATTTATTAAGCACTCCTCCCCTCAACACACACATGCTTTTTAAGTAATCTCTACACCCATCATGGGGCCTGAACTCACAACCCCAAAATCAAGAGTTCATGCTCTACCCACTGAGCCAGCCAGGTGCCCCTAAGCCTCACCCACCACTGCCTTTTTTTTTTTTTTTTCTGGAATCAGAGCATCTGGGAAGATGCAGTTTTGATGAATGGATAGGACTTTATTAGAAAGACTGACAACAGAGGGTTAAATTTCTAAGCAAAAGAAATTACATGGGCAAAATCACATAAATATGAAAATTAACATGTAATATCTGGGAAAATGTATACAGGAGTATTTCTAGGGCAAGAAGAGTGAAGCACATAATGATATGAAGCTGGACAGTTACAAGGAGCCAGTTTAAGGATCTTGTATATCTTGCTAAGGAGCTTATACTGTCTATAGATGAAAGCCATTGAGCGGTGCTGGTTTGGTTAATTTTTTTCAAATTATACAGTTAGGGGCACCTGGGTGATTCAGTCAGTTGGACATCAGACTCTTGATTTCAGCTCAGGTCATGATCTCAGGGTCATGAGATCGAGCCCTGCATCCGGCTCTGTGCTCAGTGTGGATTCGGCTTGGGATTCTCTGCCTCTGCCCCTCTCCCTGCTTGCTTGCTCTCTCAAAAATAAATAAATTATACAGTTAATTTGTTTAATTTTTATTTTTAAATTATACAGTTAATGCATTATTTTAAATTATTTTATATGATATATAATTATTATATTTCATACTTAAATACTTTTGTGAGACAAAACGTGATGTTAAAAGATTATTCCTGTCACTCTCTCTGTTACCCACAATTTTCATTAAAGCTGGGCTTGGTTAATCTACATCCATAGTAATAATGCTTCAAGAACTTAATGATGGCTATCACCTTGCAGCTTTCTGGTCTATAGCATATACTTTTTTGGGTTCCTTTTGCTTCTCCCGGGGGCATGTCTCAGGTCAGGGAATAAACTGCAGTCCTGCTTGGTGACCTTTCTAGTGGGTCAGGCCCCTCCCTGTCCCTCACTTCCCATATTCAGGAAGCTGATGAGGTTCTAGACTAAACTGAACTTCCTCTTCAGGTTACTAAGCAGGATGCAGGAGTCTTATGATCTAACCTGATCCATCCAGCCTCTGCTTTTGCCCATTTGGCTATGTTTACACAGAGGATTCTGGGTGAGATGGCCTGGAGAAAATAGTAAGGAGCGCTCAGCTGGACAAGGAAGTGAAAGCAGTTGATGAGAGAGGGAGGAGAGCAGAGCTGGGCTCCCTGATGTTCATTATATCTTCATTACACAAGTATAAATGAAACTAAGTCATTTTAGATGGTGGGGAGACACAATTAGTTTTCTCTTTTAGAAAAATCAATAAATGGTCATTCCAATAGGGTATAGACTAGAGGCGGGGAGACCTATTAAGAATACCATAAGAGGGGTGCCTGGGTGGCTCAGTTGTTAAGTGTCTGCCTTCAGCTCAGGTCATGATCCCAGGGTCCTGGGATCAAGCCCCGCATCGGGCTCCCTGCTCTGTGGGAAGCCCGCTTCTCCCTCTCCCACTCCCCCTGCCTGTGTTCCCTCTCTTGCTGTCTCTCTCTGTCAAATAAATAAATAAATAAAATCTTTAATTAAAAAAAAAAAGAATACCATAAGAAATTGTCAGTTTTTTTTTTTTTTAAAGATTTTATTTATTTATTTGAGAGAGAGAATGAGATAGAGCATGAGAGGGGGGAGGGTCCGAGGGAGAAGCAGACTCACTGCTGAGCAGGGAGCCCGATGCGGGACTCGATCCCGGGACTCCAGGATCAGGACCTGAGCCGAAGGCAGTCGCTTAACCAACTGAGCCACCCAGGCGCCCAAGAAATTGTCAGCATTTAAACTAACCAAGGCATTGCTAGTAGAGATGGACAGGATCAGCTTTGTGGATCAATAGACTTTGGTGAGTAAATGAATGGTAGAGAATCAATGAAAGGACTTTTAAGAAAACTCACAGATTTCTGACTTAAGAAACTACCTAGGTGGGTGGCATAATGGTCAATATAGGTAATATAGAAGGAAAAGCAGGATAGGTGAGTGGAGAGTAAATCCCTTTTGGATATGGATGTTGCATATCCAGGGTAGTGATATCTAATAGTCATATGGTCACATTGAAGTTCCAAACTAGCAGTATAGTTTAGGAGTTATCAAGCAGAGAAAAGGTGTCAGAAGATGGAACCCAGGGGAATGGTCAGAAAGATACAGAGAAAATAAGGAAATAATCATGAATGTAAAATAGACAGGTTTAGGGGCACCTGGGTGGCTCAGTTGGTTGAGCATCTGACTCTTGGTTTTGGCTCAGGTCATGATCTCAGGGTCCTGAGATTGAGCCTGGTGTCTGGCTCCACACTCAGTGCAGAGTCTGGGTGAGATTCTCTCCCTTTCCGCCCCTCCGCCTGCTCATACTCTCTCTCTCTAAAATAAATAAAGAAATCTTAAAAAAAAAAAAAAAAAAAGGCAGGTTTAAGAAGGGGGTGGTCATATATGTCAGGTGATGCAGACAGGTCATTCCAATAGGGTATAGACTAGAGGCGGGGAGACCTATTAAGAATACCATAAGAGGGGTGCCTGGGTGGCTCAGTCGTTAAGTGTCTGCCTTCAGCTCAGGTCATGATCCCAGGGTCCTGGGATCAAGCCCCGCATCGGGCTCCCTGCTCTGTGGGAAGCCCGCTTCTCCCTCTCCCACTCCCCCTGCCTGTGTTCCCTCTCTTGCTGTCTCTCTCTGTCAAATAAATAAATAAATAAAATCTTTAATTAAAAAAAAAAAGAATACCATAAGAAATTGTCAGTTTTTTTTTTTTTTAAAGATTTTATTTATTTATTTGAGAGAGAGAATGAGATAGAGCATGAGAGGGGGGAGGGTCCGAGGGAGAAGCAGACTCACTGCTGAGCAGGGAGCCCGATGCGGGACTCGATCCCGGGACTCCAGGATCAGGACCTGAGCCGAAGGCAGTCGCTTAACCAACTGAGCCACCCAGGCGCCCAAGAAATTGTCAGCATTTAAACTAACCAAGGCATTGCTAGTAGAGATGGACAGGATCAGCTTTGTGGATCAATAGACTTTGGTGAGTAAATGAATGGTAGAGAATCAATGAAAGGACTTTTAAGAAAACTCACAGATTTCTGACTTAAGAAACTACCTAGGTGGGTGGCATAATGGTCAATATAGGTAATATAGAAGGAAAAGCAGGATAGGTGAGTGGAGAGTAAATCCCTTTTGGATATGGATGTTGCATATCCAGGGTAGTGATATCTAATAGTCATATGGTCACATTGAAGTTCCAAACTAGCAGTATAGTTTAGGAGTTATCAAGCAGAGAAAAGGTGTCAGAAGATGGAACCCAGGGGAATGGTCAGAAAGATACAGAGAAAATAAGGAAATAATCATGAATGTAAAATAGACAGGTTTAGGGGCACCTGGGTGGCTCAGTTGGTTGAGCATCTGACTCTTGGTTTTGGCTCAGGTCATGATCTCAGGGTCCTGAGATTGAGCCTGGTGTCTGGCTCCACACTCAGTGCAGAGTCTGGGTGAGATTCTCTCCCTTTCCGCCCCTCCGCCTGCTCATACTCTCTCTCTCTAAAATAAATAAAGAAATCTTAAAAAAAAAAAAAAAAAAGGCAGGTTTAAGAAGGGGGTGGTCATATATGTCAGGTGATGCAGACAGATTATAAGACGAGAAGGAATCTGAAAATTAAAAGGTCAGTATTGACAATGTGTGGCAAGTTGGTGGGTAGCACAGTTAATGGGAAGGTGATGGTAGGTGTGTCTTTAATTTTTATTTTTAAGGATGCAGAGGTTTGAGCATATTTAAATAGTAAGGGAAAAGACAATAGGGAGAAGTTGAAGATTCAGGAAAGAACCAAAATAATTTAAAGGAGCAGAGTTCTAGAGGAGATGGAATCAAGGCCACAGGTGGTAATGTCCACAATTATAGGTATTGATTATTCTTGAACGAGAGATTGACACACTTTTTCTGTAATTGAAAGAAGAAAGGAAGGCTATATATATGTATATTTTTTAAAGATTTTATTTATTTGAGAGAGAGCACAGAGGGAGAGTGAGAGGGAGAAGCTGACGCCCCGCTGAGCAGAGAGCCCGACGCGGGGCTCAATCCCAGGACCCCGAAATCACCACCTAAGCCGAAGGCATACACTTAACCAACTGAGCCACCCAGGTGCTCCGAAAGGAAGGTTATAGATGCAATTAAGATTATATAGGTAAAAGATGGGATGTTAAGTAGCTCCCACCTGATGATTTCTGTTTGTTTTTTTTTCCTTTTTTTAAAATTTTTTAAAGATTTTATTTATTTATTTGAGAGCGAGACAAAGATAGCAAGAGACAGTATGAATGGGGAGGAGAGGGAGAAGCAGGCTCCCTGCTTAGCAGGGAGCCAGATGCGGAGCTGGATCCTAGGACCCTGGGATCATGACGTGAGCCAAAGGCAGATGCTTTACTGACTGAGCCATCTAGGTGCCCTATGATTTCCCTTTTCAATGAAGAAGGTCATTTACTGAGAGATGAGAGGGTAGATTAGGAAATATGCTAGGTGCTTCGTGATGTTTAGGTCTAGCCTAATTTTCCATAACTGTATCTCTTGCCATTTTAACTTTCAGTCCTCTGTACCTTCAGTCTTGGATCATCTCAGGTTCTAAGAGTGAAGATGCTGAGAAATTTGAGGAACCCTTTATGTCTCATTATAGGACTCAAGTCCGCTAGTCCTTTTCTTTTTGCTTTTCTTAGAATTTGCTTGTAAATTGAAATAAAAATGACATGATGTTGGGGCAAGTGGATAAGGTGCCCAATAATCTTTACTAGGAATGATAAGGGTTGATTTAATGTAAAACTGTATTGCCAGTAGTTACTTTGTTTTATTTATTTATTTATTAAAGATTTTGTTTATTAGAGAGAGAACATGAGCGGAGGGGAGGGGCAGAGGGAGAGAGGGAGAAGCAGACTCCCTGCTGAGTGGGAGCCTGATGTGGGGCTCAGTCCCCGGACCCTGGGATCATGACCTGAGCTGAAGGCAGAAACTTAACCAACTGAGCCACCAGCTGCCCCAAGTTACTTTGTTTTAATATTTTGACCCATTGCTCATACTTTGAGGAGCACCTCCTAGCCTAGCCTCTTTTTTTCTCACTTTGTCTCACTTTTCTGTCTGATCTCAGCCAGCAGGTACCTGAGATATCCCCAGTACCTTAAAAAAAGAGTGAGCTGGCTTTTCATTACCCAAGAAGTAACACAAACAATAAATGTGAAGAATTTAGATAAATATGGTTAATCCAAAACAATTAATAGTTTAAAAAGTTTTCTGACATTTTATGTTATAGTTTATTAAAGTATTACTTGACATCACTGTCAAGGACAGAATGCTTAGCAGAGTGAAACATGCATGTGATCCCTTTAAGGGTATGGTGCTCAAAAGTGTGGTTCTCGGGTGCCTGGGTGGCTCAGTCGGTTAAGTGTCTGCATTCAGCTTGGGTCATGATCCCAGAGTCCTGGGATCAGGCCCTGCATCTGGCTCCCTGCTCGGCGGGGAGTCTGCTTCTCCCTGTCCTGCTGCCTGCCGCTCCCCCCTACTTGTGCGTACGCTCTCTCTCTCTCTCTCTGTCAAATGAATAGAATCTTAAAAAAAAAAAAAAAGTGTGATTCTCAGACCAACAGAATTGGCATCATCTATGGGCTTGTTAGAAATGCAAGTTCAGGGGCGCCTGGGTGGCTCAGTCGTTAAAGCATCTGCCTTTGGCTCAGGTCATGATCCCAGGGTGCTGGGATCAAGCCCCGCATTGGGCTCCCTGCTCCGCAGGAAGCCTGCTTCTCCCTCTCCCTCTGCTGTTCCCCCTGCTTGTGTTTCCTCTCTCGCTGTGTCCCTATCTGTCAAATAAATAAATAAAATCTTAAAAAAAAAAAGAAAGAAATGCAAGTTCAGGGGCACCTGAATGGCTCTCTTTTTTTTAATAGATTTCCCTTTTTTTTTTTTAAAGAGTTTTATTTATTTATTTGAGAGAGAGTGAGAGAGCACAAGTGGGGGGAGCAGCAGAGGGAGAAGGAAAAGCAGGCTTCCCGCTGAGCAGGGAGCCTGATGCAGGACTTGATCCCAGGACCCTGAGATCATGACCTGAGCTGAAGGTAGATGCTTAACCCACTGAGCAACTCAGGCACCCCAAGGGTCTGACTCTTGATATTAGCTCAGATCTTGATTTCACAGTCATGAGTTCAAGCCTCATGTTGGGCTCCGTGCCAGGCGTGGAGCCTACTTCAAAAAAAAAAGGAAAAGAAAAATGCAAGTTCATGAGCCATGACCTTCTGACTTGCATCTCTGGGAATGAGGCCCAGGAAACCTTTAATAAGCTTTCGAAGTGATTCTTATTTCATATTAAAGTTTGAGAACCCATCTAAGATCATAGTTGTGTATCTTTATGGTATAGGAAGTGATGGCAATATGTTGGTAAAAGGGGCCTCATTCATCATAAAAATCATGTGCTCAGTTCAAAGCCATGTTCCCTGTTTGAAAAAATCTGCTATAGCCATGGTATTATTGTGGTTTACTCATCATTATAAAAAGATAAGTTAAATTATAAGAAAAAATTGAGACACTAATATAATAATTAATACATATACAGGTAACATTATATTTGTTTCCTTTTAATTTTTCTGCTTGAGTTATTTTAAAGTAAATTACAGACACCATTATGTTTGACCCTAAATGCTCCAGAAGATTATTACCTATTATCTTATAATGCTTAGTTCATATTTTACATTTTTTCACTTATGTTAAAATGTCTTTTGTATAGCTAGTCTGTTCAAACCAGAATTAAAGTTTATAAACTGGATTTGGTTGTTAGGCCTCTTAAATCTCTCATAATCTAGAACAGTTCATTACTTTTCTCCCCAATAATAAGCATTTAATCTAGCAGGTTTTAGTGACTGTTGTTTGCCAAGAAATAAAATAAATATTTATTTAAGGAGTCAAATCCAAAAACACAGTAGTAGTCAAAAAAGAAAACCATAAGATTTTGTAAACCAAAGTAGTCAAAAGAGGTTTAATCTGGGAGAGTGACCATTAAGAACAGAACAAAGAGCATAGGTTAAAATTCATTTTTTGTAATTCCTTTAACTCCTAAATTCATGCATTACTGTTTAGGTATAATTAGGCAGCTACTGTTACTTTTATAAAAATAATTTTTTTTTTTGTTTTACAGTGGGCAAATCAAACTAGCAGATTTTGGACTTGCACGGCTCTATAACTCTGAAGAGAGGTGAGGCATTCATCAAAATTACCTGTGTGAAAAGGAAAAATCCTTTTTATTCTTGGACATTCTAGTATTCTGCAAGTTGCAGTAATTTCAGTTTCTTAATTTTCTAAATATGTTCATTCTGTCTAAATTATTGAATCAGCCTTAGACTGAAATAAATCAACCCAAATTGGAATGCACGTTATTTTTTCATCTCCTACTTCTGTCCAGTTTACTTTTGAACTATTAGATTGCTATGGAGCTGTTTTGACAATCCCATTTTCAGTTGGCAGCTATTTCTATTTGCATTTACTTGTACAAGTGTTTTTTCATCAGAAGCTATTGTAAATTTATGTCATGGTTTTTTACATTTCAGTCGCCCTTATACAAACAAAGTCATCACTCTGTGGTACCGACCTCCAGAACTTCTGCTAGGAGAGGAGCGTTATACACCAGCCATTGATGTTTGGAGCTGTGGGTAAGTCTCTCTGTGCTTTCTCTTTTATTTGTAATTTACATGTTGTTGAACTTATATCTGTTTTCTCTTTGTATTGGCTTTTTGTAGCTTTTCCTTAAGTTCAAAGGGATGAGGATAAACTTTTAGCCAGAATTCAGAGAAATCTGTTGAATATTTCCTAATATCAGAGACATACTTTTTTTTAAGAAAAAACATTTCCCCAAATGTCTTTTTTTTTTTTTAACTTAGTTTGAATTGAGATCCAAATACATTCAAATAAGGTCCACAGATTACAATTGATTATCTCAAGTGTTTTAATTATAGCTTCTCCCTCCATCTTTTGGAGGAGCCTCCCCATCTTATAATTTCCTTAGAAGAAACTGGATTTTGCTGATTGCATCTTCACTGTGTTTTTGTTATTTTAGCATGGTTCTCTATCCCTATTGTTTCCTGTAAATTGTAGGTGAATTCAAGTTTGATTTCCAATCACCCACTGATCCTGAAACTATTTTACAGGTGGTTTTGAGTACTTCTGATAGATTATAGTCAATGATACATCAAAGTTGGGGGTAGGAGGCATTGGGAGCCTCTGCCCAGAGTACAGACAATAACTAGATACATTACCTCTAGGGAATTTAAAAGCAGTAAAACAATCCAGTACAAATTAGTGTGCTCTTTATTATCACATTATACAGGCAGTTCTAAACAATGTTTGTTAAAATATTCCTCCCTAACAGGGCAGATTTACACACATACATACACACCCCACTTTACATAATATACAATTACCTCTTTTTGAAATATTATCAGCTCTTAATGATCCATCTTCATTAATTCATTTGTGGTTGTTTTGTGATTGTAATATTCTAATTATATTATTCCTTCCTGGGATAAAGTAAACATCTATTTTACAACCCTAGGTACAAGTCATATAGAAAAAAGTAGAGATAAACATGTAATTCTTTCATTTTATTCACCAGTTTTGTTTTGTTTTTTTTCAAGATTTTATTTATTTGAGAGAGAGAGAGAGCATGAGAGGGGGGAGGGTCAGAGGGAGAAGCAGACTCCCCACCAAGCAGCGAGCCTGATGCGGGACTTGATCCCGGGACTCCAGGATCATGACCTAAGCCAAAGGCAGTCGCTTAACCAACTGAGCCACCCAGGTGCCGCTTTATTCACCAGTTTTAAAGATAATGAGGTGGTTTCCTAGTTTCCTGGAAAGGTTTCCTAGAAGCCTCCTTCTCCCTCTCCCACTCACCTGCTTATGTTCCCTCTCTTGCTGTGTCTCTCTCTGTCAAATAAATAAATAAAATCTTTAAAAAAAAAAAAGATAATGAGGTGGTCTCCTAGTATCCTTCAAAGATGACCAAAGAGAGGGTTTAGGGCCTTTTTTGTTGTTGTTAAAGATTTTATTTATTTGACAGGGAGACACAGCGAGAGAGGGAATACAAGCAGGGGGAGTGGGAGAGGGAGAAGCAGGCTTCCCATGGAGCAGGGAGCTTGATGCAGGGCTTGATCCCAGGACCCCAAGATCATGACCCGAGCCAAAGGCAGACACCTAATGGCTGAGCCACCCAGGCGCCCCAGGCTTTTGTGGTTTTTTTGTTTTAATTTTGTTTTGTGTTTTAGTTTCATTAACTCTTGGATAAACTTTTTTTTTTTTTTTAAGATCCCTCTATTAAGACAGTGCGGGGGAGGGGGAGCAGAGGGAGAGGTAGAGAGAATCCCAAGCAGACTCTCCACTGAGTACAGAGCCTTATGTAGGGCTCAATCCCATGACCCCAAGACCATGACCTGAGCCAAAATCAAGAGTCAAATGGTCAACTGACTGAGCCACCCAGGTGCCCCAGTGTTTTTAATGTGTTTTAATCTTACGGTTATCATCTTATTCCAATTCACATTTTCCAGTGTTTGGTCCGTGGAAGTTTAGTGGGTCCTTCCGACACCCATGGTGTTTGATAAATAGCCTTCCTTGTTTTCTGGTTCCAAGCTCATCCTATTCATTTTGTGCCCCATGCGTGGAATCAGCCATTCTCTCAAGAGTCTTAGTTGCTTTTAGGAAAATGATATTTAGAGAATCTGTGTTAGGAACATAGACATTTTTGGGGTGCCTGGTTGGCTTAGTGAGTTAAGCATCAGACTTTTTTTTTTTTTTAAGATTTTATTTATTCATCTGAGAGAGAGAGAGCACATGAAAGCGGGGGGAGTGGCAGAGGGAGAGGGAGAAGCAGCTTCCCTGCCGAGCAGGGAGCTCAACACAGGGCTCAATCCCAGGACCCTGGGATCATGACCTGAGCCGAAGGCAGATGCTTAACCGACTAGGCCACCCAGGCACCCAGACTTGGCCCATTCTATACACAGATAGGGAACCTGGACTTTAGGCTTAGGGGAGTTTGCCCTGGGTCACCTGGTGGTGGAATTGTAGAGCTCACATTTGAACCCAGGCCTTTTGGGTGATTTCATTATATGTCACTGTAGTGTATAAGCCCCCCAACACACACACATACACACAACACACTTTCCCCCTTACCTGAATGGCCTCACCAGCTGTTCCATCTCATTTTATGTCACTGTAGTGTATAAGCCCCCCAACACACACACACACACACACACACACACACACACACACATTTCCCCCTTACCTGAATGGCCTCACCAGCTCTTCCATCTCAGCCACCACTGACCAAGCATCTACCATACTTCTTCCTGACACTTATATAAATGCCATCCCTACGAGGTAGCAATTATTGTTGCTTTTTTAACTGTGGGAAAATATCCAGATGCCTAACCGACTGAGCCACCCAGACACCCCAGCAGCTGACTCCTGATTTCTGCTCAGGTCGTGTTCTCAGGGTTGTGAGATCATTTTATTTTATTAAGATTTTATTTATTTATTTGAGAGAGAGAGTGAGCGAGAGAGAGAAAGCGCATGAGCAAGGGGAGAGGGAGAAGACGAGTCCCCCGCTGAGCAGGGAGCCTGACCCGGGCTCGATCCCAGGACCCTGTGATCATGACCTGAGCCAAAGGCAGACGTTTAACCAACTGAGCCACCTGGGCGCCCCAGAAGTTAGTTAATTGTTTTTGATACTGTATGACTTATGCATATACACTCTGTCCTTGACCTCCATACCTTAGGGTTCTGACATAGATACTTGCAAGTGGAGCATATCCTTTTTTCCCATTAATTCCCTCCTGTATTAATGTCAGTCTTTTTTTTTTTTTAAAGATTTTATTTATTTATTTGAGAGAGAGAGAATGAGAGATAGAGAGCACGAGAGGGAAGAGGGTCAGAGGGAGAAGCAGACTCCCTGCCGAGCAGGGAGCCCGATGTGGGACTCGATCCAGGGACTCCAGGATCATGACCTGAGCCGAAGGCAGTCGATTAAACCGACTGAGCCACCCAGGCGCCCTTAATGTCAGTCTTTAAAAGGAGCACTGCAGGGGTTTTATTTCAAAATTCAAAAGGGTGATAGACAAGGAGAGCATAATTTCTGTGGTAGCCTACCCAACTCAACTGAAGCTTTAGTTAAATTTTACTGGCTCAAGCTGGGTGTGTTTGTATTCTGGACTATTTGCTTTAACAGTATTAGCATTTAAATTGTTACAGCTAGGCTCTAAAGTTAACACCCCATTAAGATACACAGGGAAAATTCATAGCTCTGTTGGTACTATTACTTCAGTGTGTGCAGCCTGCCACCTCAGTGTAATAGCAAAGTGTTGATTACATAATAATGTCTTCCCCATCAAAGAACTGGAAACTGAAATAAAACACCAAAACACGACTTGGAAATTAAAATTATAGAAGATTAGACTTTAATTAAAGCCCAGTAACTTCATTGAATTAAGATTTTGCTAGACATTTGATGTGAGCTTACTACTTTGGTGATCCGTGGAAGTCTCTCTGAAGGAGGAACTAGAAGGACTAGTACAACAAATTATGCCTACATTCTGAAAACCCACCTGGGTTTGTTTTTCTTCTTCCTTATGTTACCAGTTGTGACAACACTATTTGGAATTTGATTCAGTGGTTAATGTTGGAAATAGAGTTAAATTTTACTTTTACTTTTTTTAATTTTTAAAGATTTATTTATTTTAGAGAGAGAGGGGAAGGGGAGGGGTGTAAGGAGAGAAACTGAAGCAGACTCTCTGCTGAGTGCGGAGCCTGACTTGGGGCTCAATCCCACAGCCCTGAGATCATGACCCAAGCTGAAATCCAGAGTTGGACGCTTAACCGACTGAGCTACCCAGGTGTCCCTACTTTTACTTTTCTAATTTCTGGATAAGGTTTAAGTGAATATGAAGTAATAATTTGTCATTTGAGGTTAACAAATGCTAATAGAAAGGTGCTGATAACTTTGAAAACTAGATTTGTTTTGCTTCTCAGATTTAGTCATTCTAAAGAATTCAGGGTAAAACTATAAATACTGCTTTTGTATTTGTAAATCTGATTTCAAAGCACAGGCCAGAGAAGAGACTTTTTTGTCCATTTTCTTTTCCCACTTTTCAAAAAATGAAGTATTTTAGGAATACAAAAAAGTACAGAGTATTCATGGAGTTTGTTTTCATTTGTTTTGAATTTATGTTGATACGGGGGATAGGTTAAATAGGTGATGGAAATTAAGGAGTACACTTGTGATGAGCACTGGGTGATGTATGGAACTGTTAAATTACTATATTATACACCTGAAATTAATATAACACTATATGAAAACTTAACTATGTAGGTTAATTTTCATATAATTTCAAATGTACAGAAAAGTTCCTAGGAGAGTACAAAGAACTTTAGTATAGCCTTCATCCATATTTACTAAAATTTTTTAACCTTTTGAGGTGTATAATAAACTGCATATGTTTAAAATGTATAATTTAAGTTTTTTTGTTTTTTTTTTTAAGATTTTATTTATTTATTTGACAGAGAGAGACACAGCGAGAGCAGGAACACAAGCAGGGGGAGTGGGAGAGGGAGAAGCAGGCCTCCGGCCGAGCAGGGAGCCCAATGCGGGCCTCGATCCCAGGACCCTGGGATCATGACCTGAGCAGAAGGCAGACGCTTAACGACTGAGCCACCCAGGCGCCCTATAATTTAAGTTTTGACATATTATATACACAAGTGAAACCATCCACAACCAAGATAATGATGACTTCTGAAAGTTTCCATGGGTTCCTTTGTAATCTCTCTCTCCTGTCCACATTGTACCATTCCTAGGCAACCACTATTCTGCTTTCTATCACTGTAGATTGATTTCCATTTCTAGATTTTTATGTAAATGGAATCATACAGTGTATGTTCTTTTTCCCTCTTGCATCTTTTACTCCGCACAATTATTTTGAGATTTATTCATGTTAGATTCACTAATTGTTAACATCTTGCCACATTTGCTTTTATATTTGTGTGTGTATATGCACACCACATCTTTTTTCCAGAACTGTGTGAAAGTAGTTGTATATATCATGCTCTTTCCCTTCTTAATATTTAATGTACATTTTTTTAAAGATTTTATTTATTTATTAGAGAACACAAGCAGGCGGAGCAGCAGGCAGAGGGAGAGGGAGAATCAGACTCCCTGCTGAGCAGGGAGCTTGATGTGGGGCTCGATCCGGGGCTCAATCCCAAGACCCTGGGATCATGACCTGAGCCGAAGGCGGATGCTCAACCGACTGATCCACCTAGTTGCCCTTAATATACATTTCTTAAGAACAAAGATTTATCTCATATATAATCACAGTACCATTATCAAATTCAGGAAATTTAACATTGATACACTATCTTTTAAGTTGTTGAGCTTACATACCATGTTCTTATTTTTTCAATACCCTAATAATATCCTAGAAACAATACCTCACCTGATAGAGGATTTAATCCAGTATCATGTATTACATTTAGTTCTCATTCTTTTTTTTTTTTTTTTAACATTTTTAAGATTTATTTGTCTTAGAGAGAGAGTGCATGAGTGGGAGAGGGAGAGTGAATCTCAAGCAGACCCCATGCTAAGCTCACGGAGCCCAATGCGGGGCTCTATCCTAGGACCCTGAGATCATGATCTGAGCTGAAACCAAGAGTCGGTTTAACTGACTGCACCACCAAGGTGCCCCTAGTTCTCATTCTTTACTCTGGAACAGTCCTCAGCCTTTGTCTTTCATGACATTTACATTTTTTGTTGTTTTTTGTTTTGTTTTTAAGATTTTAATTATTTATTTGACACAGAGAAAGAGAGATCACAAGTAGGCAGAGCAGCAGGCAGAGGGAGAGGGAGAAGCAGGTTCCCTGCTGAGCAGAGAGCCCGATGCGGGGCTTGATCCCAGGGCCCTGGGATCATGACCTGAGCCGAACGCCCAACTGGCTGAGCCACCCAGGCACCCCCAGTTCTCATTCTTTACTCTGAAACAGTCCTTAGCCTTTGTCTTTCATGACACTTACATTTTTGAAGGACAGACCAGCTACTATATAGATTCAGGTTATAAAGTTTTGGCTAGAATAGTCCATAAGTGTTCCTTTCAAGTTATCACATTTGTGTTTACATGAACCGTTTCCGTCTTATTGGTAATATTAATTTTGGACACTTAATTAAGGTGTTTTCTTTTTCCCTACTAAATAGTTACTAGTTTTCCTTTTGTAATCAAGTAATTTGTGGAGACATATTTGGGGACTTTGTAAATATTTCAGTATAATTTGGAAGACATTTTCAAAATGGAAAGGGCATTTAAGCATAATGTGTTTGAAAGTCCTGTTGAAACTGATATCTGATGACAATAAATGTTTCTTTATAAATACAGTGCTAAGAGGGCTGTAGTATTGCACATTTTACAGAGCAAATGAGTGGAAAAGCTAATTTGTTTATAGGAACTGCTGAGCATCCTTGTAAAATGGAAGTATGGGTTTTTTAGTCTTTTTTTTAAAGGTGAAATTGATTTTATTTTTTTTTAAAGATTTTATTTATTCATTTGACAGAGAGAGACAGTGAGAGAGGAAACACAAGCAGGGGGAGTGGGAGAGGGAGAAGCAGGCTTCCTGCTGAGCAGGGAGTCCGATGCGGGGCTCGATCCCAGGACCCCGGGATCATGACCTGAGCCAAAGGCAGACGGTCAGTGACTGAGCCACCCAGGCGCCCCTAGTCTTTACTTCTTAATTTACAATGGAATTGATAGAAAAGGATTCTGATTCATTTTCTCTGCTTATAGACTTAATAGGTGGCAAAAGTTTGATCTGGTAAATATAAATTCTTTATATCATCTATTCTCACTTCGAGAAATATTTTCTTTTACAGAACTCAGACACTGCAGTTTGGGGCTTATTTACAACATGGTATATCAGATGCAGCCAGATAGACTATAAAAGTTTATTGAGACAGGTTAGGCTCTAGGGATATCTCTCTTGACCTCTCAATTTTACTCTTTGTAGATGCATCCTTGGGGAACTGTTCACAAAGAAGCCTATTTTTCAAGCCAATCTGGAACTGGCTCAGCTAGAACTGATCAGGTACAGCTGTGCATGTGCTCTAGGTGCCCAGGTGTGATCGGAGATCGCATCTTCTAATTTCTAATACTTTTTGTCCATTCTACTAAATGAGTTTATGTTTCTTATGTCCAAGTAAGTTTCTCAGACAGATTATTTTGTCATGGGCTGTAGGTATAAAGAAGTTGCATTCCCCTTTTTTAGGTCTTACTAAAGGTCTTACCTTTTAGGTTCCCCCTTTTTAGACTTTTTAGGTCTTTGCAATTTTTTTTATTAGTTCTTCATATAAAAGCATGCCATTTTCAGTGTGGCTATTTCATTCCTAGGTTAGATTAAGATCAGGTTTATTCAGCAAACAGGCCTTAGTCCTGTTTATAACAAATTCCTTTCTCTGTTAAACTTTAGGATTTAGAAATATGTAAGATAGGTCCTTGCCTTCAAAGAGCTCAGAATTTAGTAAGTGGTACAGCATGTAAACAGATAATTAAAGGTGGTGTATAACTCATTATTTGTTATACATTAAATTCAGTTTTCTATCAAAATTTCTTAGGCTCCCTTCTGCCAGTTTCCCTTATAGGGACATTATAGGACCAGCTCATCACTTTAATACTACTGAACAGAACAAAATTGATAATGAAAACCTTTATGGAGACTTTAAAAACATGTTTTACAAAACCAAGTATATGGATCATTTTGCACTCTTTTGCCAGGATTTTCTCTTCATTACCTTGTAACCAATTGTTTCTGTCCTATTCCTTCTGTCCTTAAAGCAGTGAGATCAGGTTTTACCTTTCTGCATGCCCTCTAATTTAATAAGCCAAGATTCCCCAGACCTCAGGAGGTAATAATTTCTGCTTCTGTAATCTCCAGAATTCACAATGCTGACTCACTTACTTGTTGTTCTGGCTTTTTGCTTTGTTTTCAGTCGACTCTGTGGTAGCCCCTGTCCAGCTGTGTGGCCTGATGTTATCAAGCTGCCCTACTTCAATACCATGAAACCGAAGAAGCAATATAGAAGGCGTCTGCGAGAAGAATTCTCTTTGTGAGTTTGGCAAAAATGTACATTTTGCTTCTGTGTTTAGCTGGTGTTTAGACTTGACTTTTTCCTGACCTGGGGAGTTAGTGTTGTCCCAACTTACTATGGCAGCACACCACAGGAAAATATTTTATCTTTGAATAGTATATGAATTTTAGCATACTGCTGTTGTAATTTTCTCTTACGAAGGCTATATTTTTTTTATTTTTTTATGTTTTATTCATTTGAGAGAGAGAGAGCACAAGCAGGGGGAGAGGCAGAGGGAGAAGCAAACTCCCCGCTGAGCTGGGAGCCCAACATGGGGCTCGATCCCAGGACCCAAGCCAAAGGCAGACACTTAACCATCTGAGCCACCGTTTGTTTTTATTTAAGTAATCTCTACACCCAGTGTGGGGCTGGTACTCACGACCCCGAGATCAAGAGTTGATGCTCTTGCGACTAAGCCAGCCAGGCACCCCTAAAGGCTTTAGATGATGGGAAATCATTTTATTGTGAATAGTATATAAATTTTCTCATAGTCCTTTTGGTCTTCCCACAATAAAAAAGAGAATGGAACTGCTGGCTTCATGTTTTCTACCTGTATTATAGCATTGCATAAATCCTGTGTGGGAGCAAATCTCCTTGCTTGTTTAGCCAGCTTCTAAGCTCCCTTTCCACAGTTTGACATGGAGCTGGAAATTCAGAGACCTTTGACACAAGGTTACGGGTTTAAGAACTCTGGGGTCATTGTGAACTTGTTCTTTCCACAGCATTCCTTCAGCAGCACTTGATTTACTGGACCACATGCTGACACTAGATCCTAGCAAACGTTGCACAGCTGAACAGACTTTACAGAGTGACTTCCTTAAAGATGTTGAGCTCAGCAAAATGGATCCTCCAGAGTAAGTGCTGCTGGCCAAATAGTGACCCTAAACCTCTCACTAAGCCTGAGGAGATGAGAAACTCAAAATAATAGGTTTTTAGAAGGAACTGCAAATGGCTAAGTCCAAAATGGAGAGGTGCCCTTGAGTATTATGGTTGATAAGAGGTTTGTTTTATTGCTTTATGTTTTCTTTTTAAATAAGGAATAGATTTAGATATGATATTTGTTCTAATTGGACTCAAGCTGTCTTTTTGTCCCTGAATCCCCAGCATATATTTCCCTGTACTACAACTGCTTTGAAAGTATTCCTTCTAGATTTTGCTCTTACCCATTTCATTTGCTTGAATCTCCTATGTCTGTGGTGACCATGTATAGCCCACATTTGGAAGGACAGTCCTAATTTTAAATAGTTTGCATCACTGTCAGGTCATATATCCCGAATTTTGATGTTGAAAATAGGGTCTTGGAATGTCTCTCTCTCATCAGAATCTTCCGTATTTTCTGTATTCTGTAGGATCGTCTGAGGTTCTACATTCATGTTTCACATTTGGCAGATAAAAAGTCTGGTATCTTCGAATTTATCATTGACAGTGTTACAGGTTTCATGTCAGAGTCTTTGCGTATTTTTTTTTCTTACATAAAGAAACTATCTTAAGGAAATACACAGTATTTAAAGACTGAGTCGATAGTAACCATAAATCTAATTGTTCCAAAGAAATGTCCAGATTCATTTATTGCAGTAGAATTTTGATACATTGAATGTGGCTTGAAATACATAAGCTTTTAACTGAAATTTGGAAGCTCTTATTATAGAGAGATTTTGACTCTGGTAATCTTTATTGTAATAAGATTTGACTTGCCAGGACTGTTTGTATTATCGAATATGAAGAAATCTGGAAATATGTTAAATATATTAAAATATACTAATACCCCACAAAATATTGAGTCATGGAAATTCAGTGGGTAGAAAGAAGAAAAGAACCCGTTTTTTGGTCCTCACAGACCAGATAACACATAAATTGTTTTTACACAAAGGTGATTTAATAATACTATACTTCAGTGGTTCACCATCTTGCCTGGACTTTTTGTAGATACTAACAAGCCAGTCATCTCTGTCCTACTTATTCCCAATTGAAACTTGACCAGTAAAGTTCTCCTATATTCTTGTTATACAAAGCCAGAACAGTTATAAGACTTAATTAACTATTGGAATAGTTAGAATAGACTGGAATGTGGGCATTTATATAGTAGGCATGTCTCTGATATTAGCAAGATCCTTATTTCTCACTGTAGAACTCACTTGGGCTTTTGGACTTTTATTTCCTCAGACTACCATATGCCATGATCCCTTTTACACTGCTACTATCTATTTACTAATATTTCTAGTAATTTTTATGTTATTCTTTCCGTTTCCGTCTGCTCTTTGCCTTCTCATTTTAATCTCTTGTTCATCCATTCACTCAGTGTTGCAGTCCCACACACATTTCCCCTTTGCTTTGTCTTTTTTGCAGCCTCCCCCACTGGCAGGATTGCCATGAATTATGGAGTAAGAAACGGCGACGACAGCGACAGAGTGGTGTTGTGATAGAAGAGCCACCTCCATCCAAAGCCTCTCGGAAAGAAACTACCTCAGGGACAAGTGCTGAGCCTGTGAAGAACAGCAGCCCAGCACCACCTCAGCCTGCTCCTGGCAAGGTGGAGCCTGGGACTGGGGATGCAATAGGTCAGTTCTGGGATGGAGTTTTTGTGCTTTAAGGACATCAGGGCAGGTTTTGATGGTCAAGTGCAAGGCATTAATAAAGAAGTGACCTCATTATGAGGAGAAGGAGCTAAACCAAGTTTTGTACGTGTGGTCTAGAAAGTCTACAATAGATTATTTTCCTTTCGAGAAAGTGGGAATACTATATCTCAACTAGATGTATAGCATAAATCAGTAAATTGGGCCATATTTAAGGTTCATTTACCCATGGTTCTCTAACATGTAATTTGGAGCTCTGTTTAAGTTAGATTTGTTAAGACCTTCTTAGAATCTAATCATTTAAATTACAATTGCTATTAAATGTAGTTAGTTCTGTAGAAGGTTATTTGATCTAAATATATCCAAAACTGTGTAATAGGGAATTATTATAGTAAAGTAGTTCTCCTCTGGTACCATCAGTTTTTCTGAACTATAGGTATTCTTTCCATGGCTCACTTTCCCTTCCCTGTCCACCTACTAGAGTGGTTTTTAACACTGGCTGCACATTCTAATCATCTGGGAAGCTTGAAAAGTAAACACTCCTGAACAATTGCCAGATCTCTGGGGATGGAAACTGAGGCATCTGAATTTTACAATCTCTCCTAGTAATTCTGATGTACAATAAGGGTTATAAGTCACTGACCTTGAAGGTAAAATGAAATCACTTTTACTCACAGTACAGAGATGTTTAAGCTTGTTCCTGTATTTTTAAGTGAAAATATAAAGAATAACAAATTATCTTGATAATTTATGAAAAATGAGATATTCAAAATGAAACTTCATACCTTGAATGTTATAAGTTGTTATTGCCAGTTGAAGAAGGCAAACGTCCTTAACCTGCCTCATCCTCTTATATTGGCTCCACTGTCTGTCCACAGGCCTCGGTGACATCACACAGCAGTTGAATCAAAGTGAATTGGCAGTGTTACTGAATCTGCTGCAGAGCCAAACCGACCTGAGCATCCCTCAAATGGCTCAGCTGCTTAACATCCACTCCAACCCAGAAATGCAGCAGCAGCTGGAGGCCCTGAACCAGTCCATCAGTGCCCTAACTGAAGCCACTTCCCAGCAGCAGGACTCAGAGCCCATGGCCCCAGAGGAGTCTTTGAAGGAGGCACCTCCTGCCCTAGTGGTCCAGCCTTCAGCAGAACAGACAACCTCTGAAGCTTCAAGCACACCAGCTGACATGCAGAATATGTTGGCAGTTCTTTTGAGTCAGCTGATGAAAACCCAGGAGCCAGCAGGCAGCCTGGAGGAAAACAACAGTGACAAGAACAGTGGGCCACAGGGGTCCCGAAGAACTCCCACAATGCCACAGGAGGAGGCAGCAGGTAAACAGACCGGTCATGAATCTCATTGAGCTCAGGTGCTGTTGATCCTCTTAAAAAATCTCTTTAACATTTTCTTTTTCACATCAGTGGCCTCAGTTTCAGTTTTCTGTAACCTAGTCTACAGGAGAACATAGCACCCAATGATGTATTTCTTGCCCGGCTTCTATTTAAGTCTCAGAGCTTCTCAAAGCACCTTTCATATACTGATTGTTTTTCCATTTCCTAGGAGGTAGGTAAGTAAAGCCTCTGTATTCTAACCCAAGGAAACCACAACCGTAGGTAGTGATACATCTTGAACCACTATGTGATTGGTAACCAACTAGTACTAGCACTTGAAAATCTGCCTTCCAAATAGTATAATCATCAGATTGTACAAATAGTCAATTTTACTCTAGTGTAGTGAATACTGGATACCAGTCTTACCTGAAAGATATAGTCAAGAAAACTCTAATAAAATGCCATTGTTAATCTCCTGAGGAGTAATTTGGAAATATTTCTAAGTAGATAACTAACACCATACATTTCCTTTCCCCCAAGATTATAGTGTATAAAAATGCTTTTTAAAAATCTGTTTTCTTAAAAGAGACAATTGAACGGATCCCAAATTAGGAAGTGAGCATTACATAAAGAAAAATCTGAAAAAGGAAATATGTTATACCTTGATCTGGCATGACCGCAGCACACAATTTTATTAGAGGAAAGAAAAGTTTAAATTTTCTAATTCTGATTTACAGTCTATTTGCAAAATGCTTACTTGTCTGAAAGTGTTTTCATCTCGTTGGAAATTTTCGCTGTCCATGAAGACCCCATGAATTGGGGAATGAGAAGAGGCACAAGGGCTGAGGAAGTACACTAACCTTCAACTTTAGGTTGTCCTACATTCGCATTTCATATTGGATGGTGCGGAAAGTATATGCTTTTTTTCTACTGGTATACAAATAATATAAGCTATTTTTCACATGTAAAGCTTTTTAAAACTGAAAGATAACATAAAAAGAATTAACCCCTTTACTTTACAGATAGGGAAACTGAAATCCAGGGAGTTTAAATAAGCCTGCCTATGGTCCCACTTCTGGAACCATATTATTGGCAGAGGCAGAATTAGGACTGGTGTACTTTTCTTAATATGTTTCTTTTTAATGTGTTTTTTAATTCACTTTGTTACCCTGTCATACTGATTCCAGTTGCTTTTAAGAGACTTTAGAACATGAAATAACAGAGAAAGCTAATCTAGAATTAAAGCAGGGCTTTTTGCCTCCTCTCCCATACCTTCCTTCTCCTCCCCACCCCAGCAGAAAAATTCAGCTGTAATCAAAATACCTGGAAGAAGTCGTTCAAATTAAATAATACAGTGATTGAAAGAAATTCACCCAATAATTGAGCTAACAAGCTATCAGCCAAATGGTGAGATTGAACTAAAATTAAGGCCTGGCCTATGGCCAGAAATTGTTGGATTTACTTTTCAGAGGAGAGTAAAAATACCACTCCTCATTATTAGCCACCCCTGGATTATCCAGTTCTCCCTGTCTCTCCTGTTTTTGTTTCTCCCCTGCTGCCTCTCTTTTGGCCATTTTACCATTCAGTAGCACTTCCACCAGAGGGCAGACTGAATAAGCCAGAGAAGGTGAAAATCTATCACTTTGACTATGTTTAGCTATTCTTTACTTGTGTGGGGAAAGGGTTATGATTGAAATCTAATGAGTCAATTGAAATAAATAAGTTATTTGTACATTTCATTAATACCTCCCTCCATTAATCAGACTATTAAGAATTGGTAATATTGTTAACACTAAATCTTATAATAGTATGACTTTTAAAATGTGATCTTTATTTTTTAACTCCTTTAAGAAATTTTATTTAATAGTTCTTTACAGTTTATTTGCTTTTCTATGTTGAGGTGGTTTTCATCCTCATACATGTGAATTTGAACTCAAGAATTAGTTCTATTGATATACAGAGTATTTACACAAAAGGCAAAGTTTAAGTATAAAAACTAGTATAGCTGGAAGAATAAGTTTAACTTTGCTCACTTTTGTAGTTAGGCATTTTTAAAGTTGTTTGCCATTGGTATTAAAAAAAAATTGGTGTTTTATTTTATGTATAGTCCAAAACTACTTTTAAATATAACTGGTACTGAGATATTCTTAGGTAGTGAGATATATAGTATTGGCAGCAAAAAGCTCTGAAATCTATAGATGTTTGTAGGCCAGTTAGCTCTCCTTTTTCAGTATGTCTTCTTTTCAGTTGTGAGTTTTCTATAGCTAATTTTTTGTCCTTAAATTCATTTGTACCTACCACCTAGTCAAACAGCCAGTCTGTCAACAAGCAACTTGGGTGGGTACTTTATACAGGGTGGCCAAGTCATCTCTGTATTGTTCTGGTTTTAAAACTGAAAGTCAGCTACCTGAGAACCTGCTCAGTCCCAGGCAACTTGGGACTGTTGGCCCTCCTACTTGTATGGTACATAAAGCACCTGAACTTATCCTTCCAGGGCACAACGTTACAATATTATGTTTTCAGAGTACTTTCACCTGCATGCTAAGTGAATACATACTTAACTTTATTGATTGTCTTTGCAAAATATTATTGTGGTAAATATGCTACCGAAATACTTTATAACTAAAAACTATTTTTGGCTTGTCTGAGTAATGACTTTTATATCACTAGCTCAGATAATAAAGATTGACTATATGGACATTTAAAAATATGGTTCCATAGGAAACAGAAAAATCAATCATTTGGAAGATATCCCAAAACATTAAACCTTTTCTTCAGCAGGGTGACTCCCAACTCTTTCAAAGCACTGTTCTGATTGTATTTGATTTTGTATGTCCTCAAACTCACAACATTTTACATCTCTACTCTCTGACCTTGGCAGGAGTTATCAGACAATGATTGCCAAGCTTAGGCAAATTTAGCCAGCAGTGGGGTTGGGGCATGGGGTTGTGGGAATTTGGGGAGTGGTTCAAGAAAGACAAAAGATCTTTGGAAAGACAGAGTATAGTATATAAGTTCAATACATTTCTAAATACTCAGTTCTTGTCACCATCTCCAAGATAAACAGATGTTTATCAACAGCCCATTCATTCTGCATGACATTACGATAAGTGATTTTTTTCATAGCATGGAAAAAAATGCAGGAGGTTGGGAAACAAAATAGAAAATTATGATAGATTAGTCTTTATAATTACTGTAACATAGAAAACTGAATGACAGAATGGTGGTTATTAATATCCCTTTCTTCAGAATGTGACTATGGGGAGAGGGGACTAAAGTTTGGAGAAGCAAGTGTATATTTATACATGACGGTAATGAAAGGTTTTTACTTTATTTCATCTCTCCTGTATATTCTTTAAGTTCTATTTCAGGTGTTAACCTTATATCATCAAATGTTCTGTAAAATGTGTTAGCTAAGTCCATGCAAGGTCTCCTATTGTACAGCAAGATTATGTGCTAGAAATGTGACCACAACATGTGTATTATTTCCTCTCATCTTCCTTCTTTCTACTTTATTTTCATTAATGTTTTGATCCAACAGCAAAAAGGGGCGGGAGGCTGCCAACAGCCTACATATTAGAACAGTTCCTTAAGGAAGGAAATGGAGGAAATCTCAGACAAAAATCAGGACAATCATTTGAAACATATGATCTTTTTTACACCAGCTGTTAGATTCAGAATGCAACTGTTTTATTTTAATCACTTGATTTTATTTATAAATTGCAATTTTCTGATCCCAAGATTTTATTCTTTATATATATTTGGTTACTTGTATTGATATTTGTTTATGTTGGGCAGTGTATGTGTGTGTGTATGTGTGTGTGTATGTGTGTTTATAATCACATGTGATTTTTAAGATGGTGTTTAAAAGAAGTAACCCTTCCACAGCATGTCCTCCTCACATTCTTCCACCAGAGAAGAGGCCCCCTGAGCCCCCCGGACCTCCACCGCCGCCACCTCCACCCCCTCTGGTTGAAGGCGATCTTTCCAGCGCCCCCCAGGAGTTGAACCCAGCCGTGACAGCCGCCTTGCTGCAACTTTTATCCCAGCCTGAAGCAGAGCCTCCTGGCCACCTGCCACATGAGCACCAGGCCTTGAGACCAATGGAATACTCCACCCGACCCCATCCCAACAGGACTTACGGAAACACTGATGGGCCTGAAACAGGGTTCAGTGCCACTGACACTGATGAACGCAACTCTGGTCCAGCTTTGACAGAATCCTTGACCCAGACCCTGGTGAAGAACAGGACCTTCTCAGGCTCTGTGAGCCACCTTGGGGAGTCCAGCAGTTACCAGGGCACAGGGTCAGTGCAGTTCCCAGGGGACCAGGACCTCCGTTTTGCCAGGGTCCCCTTACCATTACACTCAGTGGTCGGGCAACCATTCCTGAAGGCTGAGGGAAGCAGCAACTCTGTGGTACATGCAGAGACCAAATTGCAGAACTATGGGGAGCTGGGGCCAGGAACCACTGGGGCCAGCAGTTCAGGAGCAGGCCTTAACTGGGGGGGCCCAGCTCAGTCTTCTGCTTATGGAAAACTCTATCGGGGGCCTACAAGAGTCCCGCCAAGAGGGGGAAGAGGGAGAGGAGTTCCTTACTAACCCAGAGACTTCAGTGTCCTGAAAGATTCCTTCCCTATTCATCCTTCCATCCAGTCCACTGAAACATTAATGAAATCATTTGCCAGAGCGAGGTAATCATCTGCATTTGGCTACCGCAAAGCTGTCTGTTGTATTCCTTGCTCACTTGCTACTAGCAGGCAACTTATAATGATGATGGCACCAGTTCCCCCTGGATGGGCTACAGCCAGAACAATTACTTCAACTCTACCTAGTAGATACAAGTAGAGAATGTGGAGAGGGTCATTAAACTGAAAAGTAAATGTTGTATTAGTTCATTTGCCTGCACTTCTTGAGCAGAAGAAAAGGAGAACAGTTTCAATTTTGAGATGGCTCAGGAGAGGCTCTCTTTAGGTTTTTAAAATTTGGGGACTTTTTTAATGATTTTTTTCTTTTGAATTTCATTTTTTGTTTTTGTTTTGTTTTGTTTTCCTTTAAAGATAATAGTGTTCACAAAATTTGAGGCTTTTGCTATAAGGGAAACAGAGTGACTGGCTGATTTAAATAAATGTTTCCTTCCTCTCCACCATCTCACAATTTTGCTTTCAAGTGAACTCTTTTTTTCCCCATTGAGCATCTTGAACATACCTTTTTTCCAAATAAATTACTCATCCTTAAAGTGTGCTCTGCTTTGACAAAAGACATGCCCCTCTCCCTGCACATGAAGCAGGTTGTAGAAAGAGGCAATCTTGGGCATGTAGATAGATTTACCCCATCTCTTCCCTTTTTTACTCCTTTATAGTTTCTCATTCTCTTTCTCTCTGTGTGTCTCTTTTTGAGGCATTTGTTTGGAAAAAATTTAATCGTTGAGATGCCCAAGAACCTGGGATAATTCTTTACTTTTTTTTTTGAAATAAAGGAAAGGAAATTTAAACTCCTATATTGTTCTCTGTAACTTTTCAATTCTAAAATGTTTTTGTTTTTTTAAAACCATGTTCTGATGGTGAAATTGATTTATTAATGCAGACAGCCTAGGACATTGCTGTTGAACTGGGGTTAGAGATGATGCCTCCATAACTAGAGGGCTAGTAAGAGCAGTTAGCATACTGTTTACACATATATTTTTATGTCAAAAAAACCTTTGAAACAGAGCACTGTAGTATTGTCAAAGAGAAAAGAAATACATCCTGAAAATACATGGAAATGTAACTTAGTTTAGGGTGCATATTTTTCTGAAGATCTATCAATATCTGAGACCTTTTTTAAAAAATAATTTTAAAAGAACAGACCGTGAGAAAGAACAGTATTGACATATACACATCTCAGCATGTATATCCTGCCAATTCTTTTAGGGAGTTTGCTCTAGGAGATTTGATTTTGGTTTTGTTTTTGGTAAAAGGGGTTAAATTACGACTTCATGGCAAGAATTTTGCCTTATTATAAACAGGAAATGGAAAAGGGAAGGGCTTCAGGGTGGGATAACTTGGGAGGCATCTCATTCTGGCTTCCACTTCTGTGTGAATACCAGCATATAATGTGTTTTAAAAACATACACATTCATATAAGTTATCTGCACAGACTTAGACCTTTGTGAAACGTAGTTAAGGCCCTTTTACAAAGAAAAGGCAAACATGCTTCAGCATCTTGGAGAATAGTTTTCAGAACTCAAGTGAAGTTTTGTGTTTCAATGCCAAGTTCTTATATTAAAAAATAAAAACTACTTGTAAGAGAAAGGTGCACTAATAAAAAAAAAAAAAAAACTTAAAGAAGAACCCTCTTCAGATACTTACATGAAGACTATTTTCCCCTGTTACTGAAATAGGTAGATATCCGGTGTGTGTATTTCTTTATCATTCTCTGGGTTTTGGCCTTGCCCTCATGGGCAAACATTGATTAGAGGAAGAACCTTCTAGCCATTTTGGCATTGATGGCTTTTTATACCAGTGTGTCCAATTAGATTTGCTAGGCTCACTGACATGCTATTGGAAAATTCCATTAAAGTTCATCTGAACCTTTTGTCTGTTGACTTCTTAGTCCTCAGACATGGGCCTTTGTATTTTAGAATATTTGAATTAGAGGCATTGGGCCCCACTCCCATTTTTGATTAAAGAACTTAAGCCTGGGATACTTTCAAAAGTATTCAGTGAAAACAATTGGTCTCCCATCAAATATGAATAAAATTCTCTCTATATTTTAATTACATTTTGGTTATCAGCAGTCATCAATAATGTTTTTCCTTCCCCCTTCCCACCCCTTATTTTTAATTATGCCAAATATTCTAAATAATATACTTAAGTCTCCATTCCCCCATCCCTACTACTAGGGAAAGGGGTGAGTGTATGTATGGTGTGCGTATGTGTGTGTGTGATCCTATCTCACCCCCTACCCCCATTTGGGGAGTGTAGCCTTTACAATGAAAAAAGTTTGGTAATTTTGACTAAATCTAAAAGCAGAGGAAAAATGAAACTCAAATATCCTGGAATCTGTGTGGAGGAAGAAAAGGTATTTGTTAATTTTTCAGCTATGTTACCTATAAATGTGATAGAAGTAAAGTTTTGGCAGAATTTCAACTTGACTGTTAGAAAATTACAAACCCAATTATATTCAAAAGTGGTTTTTGTTTTGTTTTAATTATTGTACCATGGGAGATGTCCATTAAATACGTTATTTTGAACAGATGAGAAATCTGATTCTGTTCGTGAATGTGAGGCAAAACTGGTTTGACCATGATCATTTTTTGTGGTTTTGAAAACAATTTTGTTTGACCCAGTTTCCTTAGTTTTTTTTTCAACTGTCCATAGGAATGATAAAATGACATCAGATCTATACTTTTCAAAGCAGGGCAGTAGCACAAATTTGTAAGTAGGATTTTTTTGTTAGCTTATACCATAGACATCACCCAGCCACTGTGTGTGTGTGTGTGTGTGTGTGATATGCATATATAGTTACAGTACTAAAATGGTTACCAGCAGGTTTTGAGAGAGAATGCTGCACCAGAAAAGTGTCAGTTGCCACCTCATTCTCCCTGATTTAGGTTCCTGACACTGTATTCCTTCTCTCTCTTGTTTTTGCCCCACATCGGGTGTACCTTGTCTATGTACAGATATTTTGTAATATATTAAATTTTTTTCTTTCAGTTTATAAAAATGGAAAGTGGAGATTGGAAAATTAAATATTTCCTGTTACTATACCACTTTTGCTCCATTGCATTTACTTCTTAACCTGTAGCCTCTGAGCAGATCTAATTGCGTGTAAAGGGTTTTTTCCTCCACTTTATCTTAGGAGTTCTTTGTCTCAGAATCTCTGTAGTCTCATAAAATATCAAAAAAAAAAAGTTCTCAGGGTTTGAAGAGGTGCTTCAAGACACTAGACTAGGAAATAGAGAAGAAAAAAAGGGAAATCTGTAAGGTGATTTTTTTTTTTTAAGTAGAAATAGTTACACAAATGATGGTGCCAGGCCATCAAAAGAGTTGAGCCTCATATACCCCGACTCCTCCTGAAAGGAGAGGTAAGTGGGTTTGAGCTCAACTTGTCAATGGAAGTTGGTAAGAGGCTGTTTAGACCAAAGAATAGTCTCTTAAATATAACCACCCCCTCACCAATTCTTATGTTACCATGAGTAGAGTAGGCATGGAGATTAGTGTTCCTAGGTCTGTTGAGATTTCCTGATGTGTTGCCAATCCAGGAAATGAGTAAAGTTGTTTATAACGGTAAAATTCCTGTTATCTTCAAGATTTTTCCTATTTCCACCTGAGGAGAGAATTGTTTTCCCTTCTCTTTCATGGTTTAGGACACTGAGACCTAAAACTTCCCTTGTGTTGCTGCAGTCCTGCTAGTTATGACCTAAGTAGGCAGACAGACAGCAGATAAAACCCATTAAAGACAGAAAGGAAGAGGGGAGATATATCAGGAAGTTGGTGGTGGGGTGAGCAATCATATAAGGTTAAAAGGGTACACCAGAACAAGGAAATTAGGAAGATGAATTCAAATACTGGTGATGAGGGTTGCCAGCCTGTTTTTGAATCTCCAAAGTTTATGATGCCTGTGAGCTGTCATGTCTTTACCCAGAAGGAGAATGGAGAGCCCAAGATTGTTTCAATTCCTGGAATCCTGTGTTCCTGGTTAGCCTCCAGAGAAAAGGAATTTGTTTTTGGTCTCTATATATTGCAGATTCATTACTAGGAGTGTGAACTTCAACCGACTAGAGAATATTGTTTCCACTTCATAGCAGTGGCAGTCTTTTTAATTCTGGGCCTAAAGGCTGAGGACCTAACTAACATGGACTTTTTTCTCTGTCACAACCAAGGCTATTTCTAATTAGAAACCATGCTATTTCAGTATCTACATTTCTTCAGAACTGTCTTTTCCCAGACAGGTATCCTTAACCATATGGTAAAGTTAATGCCTCAAGGAAGTTAACAGTTAATGTTCTTCGTGCTGGGATTTCCTTTGTTATTAAAGATTGCCCCATAGTTTGACTGTGTTTCAGGTATGAAGTTACTTCTCTGTTCACAACTTAGTCATCCTGAAGGGCTAGGTGGAATGGAAGTGGGGAGTTCCTCAAGTGAGTAAATGTTCAACCATTCCAAGGGAGAGGTGGGACTGCTAAGTCTTTTGGTTGTCCTGAGAGGCAAGGTGAGCATTTCTGGACATGTTGGTTAATTTTACTGTCCAGGTGTGGCATTTCTCATCTATAGGAATACTTTTAATGTTCCTGTAACCTTAAGAATACTCTCAAGTGAACATTTACTCCAAACTAGGGTTGAAAGACTTTGGGGGAAGTATGACACCTGGAGGAATTGCTGGTGGTATTCTACCACTCCTCTCCCATATGCAGCCATCTCTCCATCTCCTGTCCACCCACTTTTCATTTCCTATTTTTCACTCACTGCCCACCTTGCATGCATTAGGCCTACGAGAGGTATTGATTGCTTAATCCTGCAGGATATTTAGAGTTACTGCCGCTTCATAGTTTTGAAGGGTAATGAGAGGCAACTGAGAAGACAGATGTCTATTCCAGATCCTCAACTTACTGGGTAAGAGGTGAGGGAGGAAGCAAAATAACCATGCTTTCTTACTGCTAAGGAGATTTTAATATACATTGTGTGGGGTACAAGAGATTCCTTTACTGGTCTAGGAAGGGCAGGGAATCTCAACACTTCACTTCATCCTCTTCCCTCATATCCTGAGACATACTTTTGGTGATGACATTTCTGAGCTCAGTTGCAGATGGTGTCTGTGGGAAGTAAAGCTTGGTGAGTGAGAAGAGGGCCCTGCTATCTGTGAGAAAGCAGATGAGGATTGCTTCGATGCCCTGGTGATTAATCACTAAAGTGCCAAAATGCTTTGGCCACTGGATTGCTCTCATACCTATCTCAAAAATTAGTAGTCCAAGGCTGAGAGAAAGGGGCTGATGTGAAGTGTGTCTTTAATACTCTCTAGATGGGTGGTTGTTAGTGAAACTTACTCAATATGTAGCCCATAGCCACAGCATACTTCTCTGGAATAAGAGAATATAGTCATAAAGCAAGTTCACTTAGACATAGGTTTCCTAGGACCTGAAAATAGACGGATTTTTAGATGTTTTGCTCTGGCATGGTTGTAAACAACAGATAATGTTGATCATTCCAAAGGAATGAAAGGCATTTTATCCAAGCCAAACCATCTCTTGAGGGAGGCAGCATGGAGAAACCCTATAAAGGCTACAATGTAGCGGTCAGAACTAAGTGAAAAACAAAGCCTGGGTCCTGGAGGATGTTTTTTTCTTTACAGTAAGGAGCCTATTCCAATGGCTGTCTCAGGGAGAGGATCGTTTTACCTCCTGTGTCTCAGAACTACAACAATACTTAACTTGTAAATGAAGTGAGGATCAGCTTGTAGACAGACAACGCTCCCCACCAAGGCTAATACAATTTTGAATGCTTTTGGCCCTGGAGAAAAAAGGCTGAATTCAAAGACTTAGAGAAAGCTTAGGGGTCTGATCCCTTTTATAAATTCAGGAACTTCTGAGTATGGCCTTTTTACCAGTATTTGCATTTTATATTAGGGAGCCAAAGGTCTCATACAATATGAAGCAATAGGAGAAGGAGATGTAAATAAGGGAAAGAAGGAGAACTCTAGAGCAGTCTGTTAGCTGGGCTGCAGAAAGACACTTAGGGTATAATTGCTTTTAAAGAAGACATAGAGA